TTTCCAACCATAGTGCGCTGCGCCGCGCCGCGTGTGTCGACCGAGATCGGATCGGCGACGGTTCTGGAGCCCACCGCAGCCAGCGCACCACGACCGCCGCGCTGAGCCAACCAGGCAGCCGCAGCGGCGGCCGCGGAGAGTGCGCCAGAGCGGGGTGGTAGAATCAGCCACCACTTACACTGTGTTTCATCACCTAGAGAACAACAAAAGCTCTCGGCGGCAGCTACGCCACCTAACGCTTTTATCGTCGTCACCTGCAATCAGCAGCGGCTTTCACCGCAGAAGATTGATTGGACGTACCGGCCGGCCATTACACACATGCCTCGAGAAAGCTCGGGCGGCAGGGCTGCAGCCGGCGAGCTGGCTGCCCGGGCCGGCCGGCTGGACGGTGAGCGGCGGGCGGGGCCGCGACACAAAGCACGCTCGGAGCGCAGCGGCGGTGGCGGCGGCGGCCGGTCCGCCGCTCTCCGGCAGCGTCCGGGACGCGGCGGCGTCCATTCAGCGGCCGTCTGACCGGGGCGGGTCCGGTCGCCGCGCCGGCAATCGGCCGGCCTATTACGGACCGGCGCACCGCGCGAGTTACGAGACGGCCCGCCGGCCGAGCTGCTCAGGCCGCCGCCCCCGACTCAATGCAATCCGCCATTACCGGCTGTTCAATAAAGCTCGGCTGGCCTGAGTCGTGTCGCTGGCTGGCGGGTCGGCCGGTCGGCCCCGCGTTGGGCCGGATCGGGTCAGATAGTTGAGTGGAGATTGGCGACCAATAGCGGCGACGGAGCTCGGTCAGATTTAGCGCTGTCAAGTGTCGCCTCTGCATAAATGCGAACAACGAACCCTATAGTTGTCTGAACCCGCTCAGTTACACGTCGGCGGTGGAATGGCACCAAAGGAGGAGGGAGGGAGAGGGGGAGTGCTGGCGCACCTATTGAATGACTTCCGACAACCGCAAAAAGTCATTAACAACGGTTGTCAATAGCTTGTGCATCACAGCCGGTCAGACTGAATTTCCCAAATAGGCACGTCAATTTTAAATTCAAACGTTGCAAAAAATTATCCCAATGCCAGACGATAACTTCATAACAAGATCATTCGCATATTGCAAGCGAGTATGCTTGATATCTATGTGACATGCAATACATTTCAAACATGCAGCACGTCAAACGAGATGTTTCTTGGCAACGGCGTAGCCAAAGTTCTGAGAGCACCTGGCTTACGACGTCACAATATATAAGATTCAAACAGACCAGGCGGCATTCTACCCGGACGCGGCGGCGTCCACCCTCAGGCGAAGGTTCACAAAGCACGGCCAGTGCCACGTGCCTCAACCGTGTCGACATGAAACCGAGTGTAATCGGCCTGGTTCCGTGTCCAGCCAACGAAGACAAAGTAGAAGAAAGCGCTTTCAAGCATAGAAACACGAACCTCGGATACCGCAGCGGAATTATTAATAAGACTGACGTTTTGTGAGAGCGGAGGTCAGCGCCAACTCGGTTGAAGCTCCCAGTTCATATCCGGAATTCCTCTGCACTCAGCGCGGCATCTCAAGTAGCTCGGGGGTCACGACCGCGGCGTGCACGGCGCCACCGTGCAGCATTCACCCGATGCCGGCACGATGGGACTTTCTCACGGCTGCCGCGTGACGCGCTGCTCAGCGGCTTTCTCACAGTCGTAGGAACGCCACACAGCCGCCGAGACGGTAAAAACGGACCGATCGGCGGCAGCGCGCACCCCTCACGTGACATCCTGCGGGGCCATCGGCGGGCGGTCGGGTCAGGGACGCCGCGAGGAGAGAGGGCCGCGGGAAGGTCAGTCGACCGACCCGGCCGACGCCGCCGGACCGGCACCCGAGCGGCGCCGCCGGCCTGCCGTCCAGGTATGTGTAATGAGGCGCCGACTGCCGGTGACCAGGCGACACGGGTCACCGGTCATTAGTCAGCAGCTCGTGAGCCGACAGCGGCGCGCCGGCGATGCGTTTGTCGGCGCCGGACTGGAGAGCGGTCGGCGGCCGGCACAGGGTGGCCGGGGCACCGCGGCCTGCACAGGGTGGCCGCCACGCACCGTCGAAAGATCGAGGCCAGCACGGAGGCCAGACGCAGGTGGGGAGAGGGCGGGAGGTGGAGACAGAGCGGGGAGGGGACGCAATCCCGAACAACACTGGCTGTATCTGACGATCCATCATTGGCCCGACTCGACCGGCCCGTGCCCGACTGGACGGACTCGACCCAAAAGCGGGCGATGGACGGCGGAGCTAGCCGGAAACAAGGGCGTCCCGCTCTCGGCCGCCATGTTTGGAGTCTCCAGTCCACACCCCTCCCCGGCGCGCACTTACCACTCTGCAGGAGAGAGCACCGGTCACGAGCGCACGCACGATTCTCAGAACAGCAAGCCAAAGGCCGTCTGGACAGAGCAGGGCCACGGCACAACGGTATCGCCGGGACCAAAATCGCGAACAAATTACTTCAGAAGGAACGAATGACAGACGATCAAACATATCTCCTATGCAATATTTTATGACGCCCTTCCGCTTCAATACCTGCCTGATTACACAACGTCAATCTACATCGAAACCCTCGGTCGCCTGCATGTTCGCATGACGTACGAGCTTTATTTGGCGCTCGCACACCTGTCTGCATTCTGTGCGGCTATAGCTCAGGCCGGGCCGGTGTAATTGGCGCGTTTGGAGGAGCGGGCGGTCGCCATTAGCCGTCGCACCGTGGGGACTTATGCCATCCTAGCACGCATTAAGTGGCAAGTTAAAGTATTTCGATTTCCACTTTTTGTTATTCATTCCACGTAGAATTGTCCAGCGCATCCGAATCACACCTTAAATCGTCTGTAAAATGATTGTTTATGCCTAAAAAAACCTCTCAAAGTGTAGCTTCGTCCTGACCAGCGTCGTGCTACCTGCATACAGCGAAAAAGCACACTACCATAAAACGCCCTCTCACTCGTTTCCCTGAACAGCAGGTTATAGTTGCGACATGTTTTCATTATCTTTGACTTATAAGGAAGATGATGGTATGCACGAAAATTTCCAAAATTCATCCAAATGTATAATTTTTGACCGAAATGCTAAAAATGTTAAAATGCTTCTTGATTCAGAGAGTTGACAAGCAAACTATTGCCTTACAAAGTTTGATACGCGGTGTTACGCGTGGAAATGTATATCAAAATGTTCTCCAATAATTTCTGCATCGGGGGCAGCTCTCATTTTTTGCCGAAATTTGCCTAAACCAGTCACTATGAGACGTCAAAGCAGACGGTGCCGCGTGGTTTCTTACGCCCCGCCGGGCCGCGCCGCGGCGGGTTACCCGACCGCAGCACACCGCCTGGGGGTTTCCGGTCAGTATAGGAGTTGGGAGGAGGGAGGAAGGGGGTGATACCATGTTGACATTATTTTTCTATCGCCAAATGTTCTTTTTGAACAAAACAATAACACCCTTGCAACGCTGCGTCCATTTTATTGGCTATCGCCACCAATGTTCACCTTATTGAACTTCAGTACAGAGCTTTGATGTAGGTAAATCGAAAAATGCTGTAACTTTGTAAAGTGAGGTTGGAGGTTTTTGGGGTGCTAATCACGAATTTCAAGCTAGTTTTGATCAAGGATGATGTTTTCATGCTAGGCCGGGTCAGGTCAGGCCCGACCAGTAGGTGTATTGCCGGCTATCCATAGAAGGTAGGCGTCGATTACCTTTGACGGCTTCGTAGCATGTTCCATTAGGCACCAAAACTACTTAAATCTTCAAATGGGTGTTAAGTTCGAAATAAGCTCCAAGCACTTATCTAGAAAAATCGTATAACTTGAAAAGTCAACTAAGGTCATCTAAGGTAAATGACCTTGATTTGACCTTAACGTGACCTTAAAATGCAAAGAACAAACAGCATTTCATACCTTGGAGAGTTAACAACCACAACAAGACTGAAAACGCGCCGATAATGTGCGCTGACAAGCGCCAAATCGATAACAGCCTGACATGGTCTGGTGAAACAGGTCACAGGTCAAATTTTTATTAAGGTCAAGGTCATGAAATTTTAAGTGTGTGAGTAACATTGATCGAATCGAAGGTATAGAAAGTTTCGTCGTGATCCTCCACGTTTTGCTTGAGCTAGTATGCGAAAAGTCGAGGACAGAAGTCTGTGCGACCCCCTCCCCCTTTAAGTGCAAGGACTAACAAAGTGCAAAGGTTAAGCCCGAAATGCCTTTTTGGTGATTGGGCTAGACATGAACAAATATCTACTTCTAAAACGATTGTAGTTTCGTTCTACTTTTTTAACGCTTCCACGCCCACAATGCATTGCTAGCCGAAAACGCTTCAGTGCTAAGTCCGTGGGGAGGGGGCGGGGGAGGGATGGGGTCAAGCAGGAGAGCCAACCATGTTGTCAGGGATCATACACCCTAAGCCTAACCATTTAAAGGTGAAATAAAATTAGTTAAGGTAGCGGAGGATGCGATACAAATAAATTCGTGCTAGGATCGATAAAAACCCCACAGTGCGTCGGTTGCCCGGCCTCCGCGCCGACCCCGTAATAAGAGCGGCTCCAGTAATGACGGCCTTGTGCAATCTCGGCGCCCCCTCCCAGCCGGTCCGGGGAGCCACTTGGCGGCCCCCGGCTCTATCACCCTTCGCACGGGACGGGACGGGCAGAAGCCCCGCCGGGACGAGCCGGCTGACTCGGGGCAGTCGCGTCTCTCTCTCTCTCTCCCTCTCCCGTCGGCGGTTACGGCGGCCAGTCCGATGGACGCCGGGTTCAAGGTTACCGTAACCGTCCCCGCGCCGTGACCGGCGCTCCGTCCGGCCAGCAGAAATGGAGTGGACGAGAGAACACCGCCCGCGACACGAATAGCACGGCTCGCATAACACACACGCATGCATTACTCATAAGCGACACAGTTGCGACACGGGCTGAGCAGCCCCGGCGCCGTCAGGGCCAGTCGCTGCTGCCCAGACCACTTCTCCCACCCACCCATCGACCGCTACTCGGCAGTCTCGGGTACTCACCATGGGCTCCTCATCGGTGGCAGCTGAGGTGGCCGGCGTGGCGCGGCCGCCCGGGTCCGTGCGCACCTCGTCAGGGTGCCGCTCCAGGGACCGGACGAACTTCCGCGCCTCCGAGCCAGTGACCATGCGCGCCAGCTCGGTATCCGATCCGTGCCAGAGACGCGCCGCGGCCAGCCGACCGCCGCCGCCGCTGCTGCTGCTGGCACCGCCGGCGGCGCCGCCCACCCCGGCGCCGCGCAGGTCCTCCAGGCTGCGGACGAAGCTGCAGTCGGAGGACCGGCAGCTGTTCGAGTGCTGCAGGGTGGGCGGTACGCGGCGCTCGGCGTGGCGCGCCGCCGCGGCCGGCGGGGGCGGCGGCGGAGGACCCATCACACCGCCCTGGTTGCCGACACGGTGGATGCGCAGTCGTTCCCGTTCCACGTCCACCACAAAGATGCGCTCGGTGGGGTGTCCGTCGTCGCGGAAGCCAATGCCGGAGTCGCTGTTGGACGAGTTGCTGCTGGTGTTGCTGTGAGGCGGCGAGGCCGGTTGCATGTCAGGGTCCGCCATACCCGGCAGCACTCGGTTCCTGTACAGACTGAGAATGGCCTGCAGGATGGGCTCAGCTGTGTCAGGGAACTCCTGACAGCGCCCGCCGGCGCCGCCCGGCGCCACTGAGCACTGCAGGCCGAACGTGCGCGCCCGCTTGGCGTGGTCGCCGTGCGCCGCCAGCTTCGGGTCCACCATGAACACGTGACACGAGCTGGAGAGCGGCGGCGGCGACGACTCGTCTTGGCTCTGGTCACTCGGGTCGTCGTGCCGGTGCACCGTCACCAGGCCGAAGAAGCGCTTGTCGTCGGCGTAGATGCCGCAGAAGGTGATCCGGTCGGCCGGGTAGGTGGCCAGCGCCCAGCCGTGCGTGTTTGATAGCGATACACGACTGGGAAACACTGACATCAGCACCAGCGTGTGCACCTTCTTCTCCACGCGCAGCCGGCGGATGCAGTTTCGGATGGCCTGCAGCCGCGATCCCGCCAGGTCCTTCTCCTTGGGCATCTCGATGGTGCCCAGGTAGCCGACCACCGCGCGGAACAGGGCCGGGTCCGCCTCCTGCTGCCGCTCGCGCTGCAGCTCCTGCAGTGTCGGGTAGATGAGTCCATTCACCGTCTGCTCTGTGATCACCAGCCGCTCGCCGCCGGCTGCCGCCGCCGCCGCGGCAGCCACATGGCTGGGGCCGGGCCGCGCGCGACGCACCGGCCGCACCGCCGGCGCCGTCGGCTGCAGGAAGCCCTGCGGGTCGCGCGGCGGCGGCGGCGGGCCGGGCACGCGGCGCGCCGGCTCCTCGTCGTCCCAGCTGTCCGCCGGCGATCGGCCGCCGGCCGGGCCGGCGCGCGGCGCTCCGTGTCGGTGCCGTGCCCGGTGCGCCGGCTTGTGTTTGTTGCGCGTGGCCACGCACGCCTCGTCCTCCGAGCTGTCCGTGTAGTAGTTCTCGGCGATCTGCAGCCGCAGCGTCGAGTGCGTGCTGCCAATCAGCTGCACTACGTCGTCGTGCAGGCTGGCGGCCACGTTCTGACCGTTGACGGCCAGCAGGTAGTCCCCGGGGCGGAGACCGGCCGCGTCCGCCGGGCTCGAGGCTACGATACAGCTCAGAAGGCACGGTGCCTGCCCGGAGATGGTGAAGCCGAACCCGTTGGCGCCGCGCTGTACTTCCACCGTGCGGACGCCGTAGCTCGGCCGCTTCTTGCGGCGGCGTGTCGGATGCATCTGTGGGTCAGCGGAGGAGGGGAGGGGGTCAGTCAGGGCAGCCGGACTCGCCCCTACAGTTCCACATACCAGCGGCAGCACATAGACATGATAATACAAACACTCGCACGGCATTCCGCTGCAGAACAGGCTGGTTTAGCTGGAACTGGGGTCGGTCGGAACATACGGCGGACATGCCAGGCACAGCTGTACCGCCCAGACAGGATCACAATATATAAATATAAACAGTGAGCAAAGCGTCTACACAAATGCGATGCGTATCGGCTGATGAGTGCCGACGGCGGTTGACCAAACTCCGTGAAATCAGCTCAGTAAGTCACCACAAACATTCGTGATTTATTCAGAACACACCTAGGTTATGCGTCGTTCGTGCTGGCCATGAGGCCGCGTACCTCACGTCCTCCGTCAACACTCATAAGATCTGTGCCGCAAAGCAGCCGAGTCAAGTTATCTCTTTCCGCTAGGCACGAATGGTGCAGCTGCGAAAATGACATCACCCCAGCTTCACGAAAATACATTCCTGAAACAGCATTTGTGACGGTGCACATGAACTTTGAAATGTCAGCGTGAGAGCGGGGACCGGCAGGTAAGTGGGTCATGTCAGGTTCTGCAGTGCTGTTTTTTTCGCATATGGGGGTCGGTGAGGCCAGGGTTGCGAAGCGTAAGCTTTCGTCATACATTTACACTTCACAAAGTTACAAGTTCTTTGTAGAATCGGTATCTAACATCGCTACAGCACTGTAACTGATAATGCTACGGCTATCGCGTTTGATCATAAACAGATGTAGAAACATTACACATTAGCTTTATCGGCCTAAATCTCAGCGACAAATCTTTCAACAGTCCATGACATAAACATGCTTTTACACTAGTAGTTCAACGGGAGCAAACGCGATAGTTTATTTGTGAGCTTCGTCTTAGCCAGAGTCCCTAACGGCGTGTAATCATAAACAGAAGCCAGCTCGAAGGACAATAAACTATGCCACTTCAAGCGGTGATACGATGGCCCGGTACGATAAGCTACGATATTGCAGGCGGATTTATAGACCATAATCGTGCATTCAATGAAACTTGTAATGTTTTGTTAAGTCACATCCAATCTCAAATATTTGAAGTAAATCTGACGTAGGTATTTGTTCCCACTCGAATGAACGGCTCGGAATTCGATGCGTGCATTGCCCATAGCATACCCAATGTATAGGTAAACAGAACGCTCCACACAATGGCCATTTAAGATGTTCTAAAAACGCTCGCGTATGCCATGGACCACGCCAGACGCGTGCGGCAGTCTGGGTGCAGCACTCTGACTCTGCATTAGTCCAGAGTTCCGATTAGATAATCAAGATCGTGGAACACTGCCACTTTCCAGGAATGGAGCATCAATGAGGAAAACCGCTGCCCGGGTGGATCGCATGTCCTCGGCTCAAGTTACCAAACATCCACGAGAGAGCGACCGACGGAGCCCCAGAGGCCTCACCAACAGATCAGTTGCCAAACCCGGGCACGAAACACCACAGAAATGCGATATGCAGAGGCAGCATTGCTCTGTATCTTTACATTCAATTATTTGTTTTAAGTTTTCCTTTGAGAGTTACTTGTAATGTCACAGTTGCCTACATCCTTTACTCCAGATATACAAACTAAACACGCGTTTTCCTCAAAGGTCTGTGTTTGAATATGCAACCGTTTGAAGTCTGTTTCTGTAGCTTTCACGAAACATTTTTCCTCCTCTAAGAACCTTTACCTAAAAGAAGTAGACTTACGAGTAAATTAAGCAGAACAGGATTAGTGGAAAATCCCGTGCGCTCTCTCTCGGATGATCTGGTGAGACGGGTGTTCCGGAAAGCCGTGCAGGTGCGCTGGGGATGGGTCGGATCATCCGGCGGTGGAGAGTGGCTGCGCTCAGCGGAACACGCAGGAGGGAGAGGCCAGCAGCGCCGGACCGGCACGGCACGAGACTGGGTGCCGTCCCGATGTGACTGGGTCGCGTGGATGATGTTATATAGCCAGTGCCAATAAGTTAGTACGACAAGCTCACTGGGGTCATCTTTACACGACTGAGCATTGACTGACTGACTAAGCATCGGGTAGTAGCGCAGTCAAGATGATCTACTTCACCGTCGAAACAGTGGAGGAGGGGTGCATTGGGAGCGTGACGACTGACGAAGTTGCCATCCGCTGAAAGTACGTCAAGTTTACCGTAACAGTGCTTGAAACTGCCTTCCATGTACGCAGAACTATAAATAATAAACAAGACAATTAATGAACAAAGCAATGACATTCAATGACCGATGCATCAGGCCTTGCAGATGTCCTTGGCATGCACATACTGGACATTTCTAAGCCAATAGTCACATCGTCACGTAACAGAAACTGTCACGGGCGTCACGGAGCTGCTCTGGCCTTGGCCGTTCCGCTGGCGGTCCGTCACGCGGTGCGGCGGCCGGTGCGTCTGTGGCTTTGGCGATTGTCTTGTGGCCGCCATGGCGTAAGAGCTGGCTGGAGAGGCTGCGGCTGGGGGGTTATAGAGACTGGCGGGAGGGTTGGAGGGCGTCACGGCCGGGTGACACCGACTCGCTCAGCCGACCACGCCCGGCCGGCCCGCCCAGTCCGGTGGACAGGTGTCCGCCGCCAGAGAACGGTGATACCGGGGCGGTTCGCGAGGCGCGTGGGCACTACAGTGAGGTCAGATGAGGCCAGAACCACATTGCCACCGGCCCTACAAGACAAGCCAACGAACACCCGATACCACCGTAAGCGTTACATAAATCCGTTATAGCTTACCAAATATCATAGAGACATAAACATAGGTCTATCGCAATGGCAAACCTAGCCAATAATAAGCCCCATACAGGTCTGAGGTTTCTCATGCGATATTGCAAGCGATTTGAAGTCGGATGACATGGGATGTCCATTACTTGCCGGGCGATCAGGATCAGGATAGGCGATGGGTTGGCCTGGGTCGGCCTTGGACACGTTTTCCGATGCGCCGGCGATGCAGCGGAAAACCGACACTCACTGCCGCCACTGCAGACTCCAAGAGCGAAGAACTGGAAAACGCACGGTAAAGGCGAGCTCCGGGAAGACGGGTCGCGGCTAAAATTGGTCCAGAGCCTTTGGAAGCAAATTGTTTAGAAGTAGCTAATCGTAAGAGGCGGCCTTGAGCGACGATAGCCACCAACGTTCGCTTGTCACATGACGTTCAACTGCGCTGTTGTGTTCGGACCACCGACTTGGAACAGGCATCTCAAATCAGAATCTCGAGACATACCTAGCAGCTTTGCAAATTTGCCTGGATGAACGCGAAATGACACTGAAACATTCCTTCTCTCCCAGCTCAATCGCAGCTGTAATTGAAATTGAAATGGCTCAGGATGCACAAGATCAGGATCAGAACAAGAAGGTGAAGCAATCATCAGGGTATCACAAATCGTGCAGAAATTACAGGTCATGTCATAGAACACGTTACACCTTTCATTTTACCGTTTCAGGTCACCTTACAGCGCCAACCCAGAAAACCAGCTGGAAAACCAACGGCTCCATCTTTCCCAACAGGCCGAGTTCCATGCTTCAGAACAGCGGAACAGCTAGAACCCTACCATTCCACTGACCTTACCTTCACAGGCGAACAAAATATCCTTCCTGAAAACGCAGAATCCAGGCTATAAGATGACACCAAAGTTAGCACAGTTCAGCATTTCTCACTGTTCTAATCACACAAAATATTCCAGAGAATCGCACCCACGTTCCACACCCGTAGCACTCAGTGAACGACGCTCTCTCATTGGACCGCTTCACATGCCCTAAGGGGTGCCCGCAACGCTCACGAGCGTCATTCCTTTGTTACTTGTGCTGCCACCTATTGTCAAGAGAGAAACATAACTTGTAGGAAGCTGTAGTTCACATATGAGACGAAAGGTGTCAGCAGCAGTCGAGTCTCTGATCCTCTGAGTTCTCACGCTTCTCAGAGCTCGGAGACAGCGGAGACATTTGTTTGTGGGAAGCGTGGGAATCGGAAGCAAGGGGCATCGATTCGTGAATGAATAGCGGTAATTGAGAATCGTCTATTTTTTTTTTTAGTTGGTGAGGTGAGTTATCTCTACCCAGTACCCATCATTGTCATTGAATCTTACGATTTCGGTCTCTGATGTTTTTGTAATGAGTTTTTCAGTAAGTAGTGTGAATGTCAATGTACATCAACGTGGGGAATGCAGGAATGCCTTGTTCTCGTAGTTTTCGATTTTCATTGTTAGTTCAGGAACAGTGCTCATTCTTAAATTGAATTGTCAGCAAAAATTATGCATGTACATGGCATAACACCAGCAGGGCAAATTCTCATCTCGGAATCTCCCAAAGAACAGCCCGAGTGTGAAAAATAGCCTGCATTAAGCCACACAAGGGTATAAATTCATTCTCACATAATTTTGTTTTTGCATAGAATACCTAGTAACCTATTGTGATTGTAGAAATTATTTGAGCCATGGTTGGAAATTCAATGAACCAGTGTGTCAGTTCACATGGCTCTGAGTCATGTCATTTTAGCAACCATTTCTACATATTTTAGCTTTATGATTGGCTTCTTGTCAATGATTATTAGTGCAGTGATGCATTTACCACATTATTTTGCCATTGACACCAATCTCAATCATCAAAAACTCTGGTCTTTGAGAACCTTTAAAGAGGTCCATCAGACCCACCTCATTTTACATTTAGCATATTTCTGGTTATTTTGCTTCCTGACCCTAGTCATTTCAGGTACAAGCATTTGGACATGACAGTTTATATAGCCTTGGACATGGCCACCGTCTTCATCCAGTGCCTTTGAGTATGCTGGCTGGTGGTTTAAGCAAGGACAATTTTCAGCAATGCCTTCAGCCTTACCATGTGATTTGATGCTAATATGTGTGGCAGGGATCACCATTTTAACATTTTCTGCCAGGCCAGTTTTTTTTTTTTTTTTTTGCAGCTGCTCTATATTGAGACTGGGATGTACTGCAGAGTGCAGTGCAGTGTGCACACATCACAAATGGACACACAGTGTTCCTGATTCCCGTTCTAAAATCATTTCGTGAGCATGTGCTGGCTGATTGTTAATGCTTCTTGAAATTCATTCCTTTAAAGCGCTGTGATCAACCAAATGTTTTTTATCTTGAACTAAATGTTTTTCTCCTGTTTTCAGGTGTGACTTTCTACTGCACACATCCATCAGTTTTCCCACGATGCCTGACCCGGCCAGCACACGACAGCTGCCTAGCTATTTGTGCTGCATCCGGCCGTTCGAGCCGCGCGACGCGCTGGCCGTGAAGGCGATGGCCAGTGAGGCCGCCACCAGCACCGTGTGGTCCTTCTTCACGGCGGCGCTGTTCCGCGAGACGTTCTGGGAGCTGCTGATCGCCGTCGAGGCGGTGCTGTTTGTCGTGTTCGGCGTGCCCGGCGACCTGTGTGTGCTGCTGGTGCCCGCCTTCTTCGTGTTCATCTTCACGAGTATCTGGGCGGCACACCAGGTGCGTGCGGTGGCCGCCCAGAGCGACCTCAGTAACATCCCGGACACGTACCAGACGTCCAAGCGGACCAACTTCTGGGTGGCCGAGCTGTACGAGCCGCTGCTGGGGCCGGCCTCGGCGTTCCAACTGACGTTTGTCACTCCTCAGGACGTGGAGAAGTACCAGACAGACCTGGGCGGTCTCCGACGGGTCGTCGTCGGCACCGTCGGCATTCGCAAGAACCGCGACGAGCCCGAGGGCGGCTGGCTGACGCGGATGGCCGTGCTAAAGCCGTACCGCGGCCACGGCATCGGCACACAGCTGCTAGAGGTGGCCTGCCGGTTCTGCGGGGACGTCGGACTCACCCACGTGCGGCTGCAGACCACCGAGTGCCATGACGCCGCCAAAAGCCTCTTCTACAAGCACGGCTTCCAGATCCTCAACTACATGCACAAGCCGATGTTTGCCGGCGTCAAGGTGGGCGTGTACATGTTCACGCGCAATGTGAAGCCGAGCCGTCAGGCACTGAACGCCTGAGGGCCTCCGTGTGTGTGTCAGAGTGGACGAAGGACGATGGAAGAGTCGTGGACAATGGGGAGCGGTCGAGTCTCAGTGGCTGTGTTGGACACTGTAGCAGTGACGCTGACGTATGGTGGAGTAGAGTACGAGCTGCTGCTTTGCGTGCTCGGTGCATTGATACTGCGCGGCAGATAGAAGTGACGTTTTGTTGTCAGCATTTATGCGGCCGAGCTTATGAGGGCGTAATGTAAGCAGTCGTTACCGTTTGGATACCGGAGCTGCTCAGTTCCGAACTGGACCACTGATGAGGCTGCGGCGCGTAACATTCGACTGCATTGACTGGGTGTGTTTTTGTCAGATTTTCGCACAACCGTGGCACCTTCCATGCAGCGCCTCCTGCATTCCAGGACTTACTTTGTCGGGAACTGGTTGACTGTCAACAATGTCGTCCGATGCATTGGCGTTGGAAATGATTCTTTTCACTCATGCCCCGAATGCTGGTAAAACACTTCAAAGTGATCAGCGATATCCATTATTTACGATGAGCGCAATCAACTTTGTCGGTTATTCCCTGATGGTACGAGAAGGTAGGCGGTGATTTAGAAAAGCTACGGCTGAAACGGAACAATTCCTGTCCAACAGTGCCTTATGAACGCAGAACGTGCCAAACTCGTCTTTCGAGGAAAATGCATACTACTTACTTAGTCTCATTAGCTGTCACTGGTGCCTCAAAATGTCCTGAAAATAGAATTCGTAAGCATCAGTATTCTACCATTATTAAGATTTTTAGGCTAGAAAGCGAGTTGTCTACCCCTCGCCAGTGACTTTGTGTGTGGGTGTAGTTCGTTTTATATCACGGCCTGATTATATCGATTTTTCAATAAAAGAAACGATCCATCTCCTTTGTGTTCAGCGAGCGTGGTCTGTTGCTGACGGGCCTGAGATTCGCGTTTTGTTGTTCCCTGATCAGTGGTGTATCTAAAAAAAAAAAAAACACCCTCATAGTGCGTAAATCTGCGTTGGAGACACAACTTTAGGAAAAACGGTGCTATCCGGTTTTATTGGCGATGAAAAATATCCATGAGTCGACATCCTGCACAAATTCACATAAACCAGCCGATGCTTTTGACGCGATGAAAAGAGCGGTGACGGTGACCAGCGCCTCCCCGAAGTTCGCACCAATTCTAGCGGCATGATGCAACACTGCAGCTCGGAGCAATGACGCAACACCCAGCACGCTTGCAGAAGACTGATGCAGTCGCAAGACCGAGCGACGTGGATCACTCTGACCAAACCACAAGAACCATTTACCGTACTAATCTCGCAAGCGCTAATGACCCAATCACATCACCATTCGCACCTTACGGCTCACATTCCCCTCAACACGCACGCACCTTTCGAACACTCCAACGAACGACACATGAAGTACACCATCCCAGACCGGGACACAAGTCCACAACCCCCCACCCCTCTCAGTCACTGTCGCTGCCACTACCTGATCCCGATCCTGACCCTGACCCGGAGCCGGAGCCGGAGGCGGCCGATCCGGACCCGGAGCCGGAGCCGGACGCCGAGCCCGGCGACTTCGCGCCGCCGCCGCTGCCGGCGCCCTCCTCGTCGCTCTCCTCGATGGTCTTTTTGGCGCGCTCTAGCTTTCTGGCGCGGTTGGTCTCGATGTCGGAGCCCTCCTCGTCCGAGGAGTAGATGGGCGCCCGCTGGTCGCCTGCCGGCGGAGGGGGAGGGTGAGACAGCTGGCCGTGACGCAATGGTCGCAATGCGAGATAAATTGGCCGAATAGCGCCAAATGACAGCAATGGAGACGGAGTGTGAAGCATTGCGAGCCAAGAAATAAGACAAATTATCTTTGTGAAAATAATTTACAGCATGACAATACTTCAACAAAATTTATCACCGTGCGTCTTGAATGAAGGATGCCTGAATCTAAAAGATATCCAATAGTTTAACCCTCGCCGGACCTATTGGTTTTCTACATACGCGCCGGCCGAGGGGGGGGGGGGGGGCGGGTACGACCCCCCCTCGCCGTTTCGCCCCTGGTGGAGCTAGCGCGTCGCGGAAAAAACGAGCGTGTGCGCCGTTACGAGACGCAGAGATTGGTACCCGATTTTAAGGTCCTAGGTCAACCGGTGACCTCTGAGGTCAGGTCAAGTGCCCCAAGGTACGGTTCAGTTTTTGGTGAATAACTTCGCAAAAAACGGCCGCAGAGCGCCGATTTTGGCAGCATCGTGTTTGTCTCGCTCAGGCGCGTCGAATGATATACTTTTTGTCCGGGTCAGGTCAACTTGGGGTGTTGACCTCAGGTCAAGGTCAGGTCAGCACCCCCAGGTCACGAAGTTGGTCGAAAGAGGTCATGTCGCATATCATTCGATTCGGCAGGTCTTCCTGAGTCCATTGGTGGCTTTCCCGACTCGCTAGCTCAATTTGATCAAGAGTTATTGACGAAAAACTAATGCAAGGTCAACATTGCAAAAGTGACGCATCTAACCTTGCAAGGAGTGCATCAAATCACGATTCTGTGTGCTTGAGATAGTTGGAGATCGTTCCCGGCGCCAGAATAGCAGTTTTCATTTTTCCCCATTGACTTATAAAGGTGAGGTCACGAAAATGAACTGACCTCATATGACCTTTAGGAAAAATCCGAGATATACAAGTTGTGGGACTCATAATGGATACTAGATCCTGCAAGTTTCATTTCCCTGTGACATCTCCTCTGGCAGTGAGGGCGTTGCGAAGTTGCGACATCTGAAGACCGTGCAGAGGTTCACTTATGACGTCATAGGTCAGTGACCTGACCTGACCCAAAAATGCGGTTGGTGTCAAAAGATCCGGCTTGGATCAAAGGTCAGGTATGCCAAGTTTCAGCTCTCTATCGCCAACGTGTTCGGAGCTATCGCGAAAAAAAACTATATGGAGGGGCGGCACCCCCCTCGGCCGGCGAGGGTTAAAATAAAATGAAACATTAAAAAGTACAATAATTCTACAATCATAATCTGCTGTTTTCCTGGCACCATGACTCACCCTTCTTCTTCTTGTACTTGTTCTTGATGGCGGAGAGCGAGATGGCCCCCTCGTCCTCCGAGTCTGCTCCCTCGCCGTCCGGCTCCAGGTAGCCCGAGTTGAGGCTGCGGGCTGAGCGTTCCTTCACCCGCCGTCGCTGGGCGTCCCGGCGCACAGACGCACGCAGACGGATCTCCTCTTGCTGTAATGACAGGGAGGAGGGGTCAGTTGCGGGCGGCGGCACATACAGCCGAATGGATAGAGAGCGGGTGTGTGAAACAAATGAGATAGAGCAGTTGAATAGAGCAGCAGCCATGGCAGTCAGAGACCATTGCAAGGCACATGCGACAAAGATTACAGGTAGGGGTCAACGAGATGGTAGTCAGAAACAGAGCTGCGGCAGACGAACAGCTTCAGAGTCTGAAGTCAGCGAATGAAGATATAAACAACAGCAGTGACTACACACACGATAGGGACAGGGCACTGCAGCTGCAGCAATGTCGGGAGCGGGGGCGTCTGCAGAATCAGCAATGTGTCGAGATCGGGGCGCACTGCACAGTGGGACTGGACCGATAACCGGTAAACAGAAGAGGCGCGGTGACGAACAGCAGACGATGAACCGCGTGACGCAACGGCGACGGCTCGATACAGAACGGCGTAACGGGACATCTGGTCAAATGGGACTGATAATGCCCGAAACGGTCGCTGACTGTGGATCTGGAACGCATCATCGTACGTTGATGAAATTTTCGAAGTTTGGGAACATGGCTTCGTTGCCTCGTTGGCTCCGTTGCATATGACGAAGTGCAAGACAGGTAATTTAGGTTCCAATGTAACCAAGTTAGCGTATTTCGACGTAAACATGCATCTGAAACATACTAGGTTCGGAAGCAAAATCATGTTTTTTTTTTTTTTTGGTTAACACTGGACCATTTGTGTCTCTAGCTTCATAACCTCTCCCCCGCCACACATCCCCACAGTTACGCCACAATATCTCTCCTCCCAACCACTCAGCGCCGCCTACCTTGATGAGCTGGTTGCGGTTCATCTCCGGGTTCTGTCCGACCGTTGTGAGCACCTTCACGCCCGGCGTCTTGTGCGAGCGGTCGGCGATGGAGCGCGTCATCTTCCTGTGTGTGAACGAGTCGGTCGAGTGCGGTCGGAACGAGAGTTTGGTGCGGAACACGGCCTGACCCTGCAGACCGGTGCCCTGGCGGATGAACAGGTGGTTGTGGTCGCCCTGCCGGAGAGACAGAGGTCAAGAGTCAGTACATAGAAGTCAAACACGTCGGAGTCAAGTCGGAGATCTGAGACCACCAATCAACAATCCGAATTCAGGCATGTAGGTCAATTAAGGTCGACCGTAATATAAGCAAATAGCCTAGCTTACTAGTCAGCCATATGAAAAAAAGCTTAAAACGATACAGAACAGAAGAAATGTTGCGATGCATGTGGTAAAGTCAAAAACATTCAAGGCCACATGACGGTACGGGTGTGACCGGTCCGTTACGTCTTAACAGCGGTTTTTCAAAGACCATCCTTACCTGGAGAACTACCAAAGATATTTGCATACAACACAACCCTTCCGTTACGTGTAGTGCCCGTTCACAGACAACCGATCGGTTACCTGCAGCGGCTGCTTGTAGACGTCGAAGATCTCGGAGCCGAGGTAGAGCGACATGCTGCCGTCCGACCAGCGCACCACCTTGGCGTTGCTCTCCTTCACCGCGTCACCCTCCTTGTTGAACACCGTACGCCAGCGCATTGTGTTCTCCACCTTCAGCTTCAGGCTGTGTGGATGGGAAAAAGGGCGGTAAAGGGAGTGGCAGTGAGAAGATTGAGGGGAGAGGCAGTGGTGAATCGGCAGACGACATGGATTGAGCAACCGTAGTCGAGCAGGGGCATTCCTTTGGGTATATTTGGTTAGAAAAGCTTGCTTTCAAGTTTTGAGTCACTACAGATATGCTGAGACCACTGACTAGGCTTGAATAGTTAAACATCACTGAAAGCAACGTCTCTCCAACGATACTAATGCCTTACCCCAGCAGTGACCATCTCACTGTTAAATGATTTTTTATCTACGTTGCACATACCCTGGCTACCCTACTCTACGTTACACCCGCAGCCCGTTCCCCTCCCTCCGCCGGTCACTGACCGCGCTCTGCCCTCCTCATCCAGCGTCTCCTCCTCGTCAATCTCGTCCTCGTGCGTCTCCGGGTCGAACGGACGCGTCTCCACCGACAGAAAGTTGGGCAGCTTCACGAAATTCAGCTCCTGGAGACACAAAGCAAGTCAAACGGAGTCAGACGGAACTGATTGTTAATCATTACATTCTACAACACATCCGAAGAATGGTTTGACGGGTGACTATTTTCAGCTCGTCAGGACTTATGTGACGACGAATTTATCCATCAATTTACTAAACAAATATGAGACGCAAAAAGATCTAGCACTTCTAATGTTGGATCACAGATTAAGAATATGACCATCTCCAGTGACACCTGAACATGCCAGGTTGGTCAGCTCTTGCTCGTCATCGAGCGAGAGTTACCACCCTACTCTAACACCGTGTCGGTGGCGGTGGCTGTTACACTGAGTCCCTAGTGCCCAGTCAATCCGCTCCAAATTCGTCCCCTGGTCTCACCTTGCCCAGGTCGGTGGATATTTTGGGTACATCCACTTCAATCCTGGTCTCCTGGGGCGGCTCCTTCTCCTCAGGAGCGGCCGCCTTCTCCGCCTGCTCACCGTCCTCGTCATCGTCCTGGCGCGCAGAGAGAAACGAAAACAACGGTCACACGGGGACTGCCAAAGGACTGAGACAATGGTAAGGAGGACACTTTCTTGAACTGATAAAACTGGACCGCATCAGCAGACAAAACAAAAATGATCAATAGCTTTTAAGGAAATCCAAGTGCAGCAAGTCTCACCCTATCAGCCTGTCCCAGGAGAGAAAACGAAAATTATCAGTCTCATAACAACCAAGCACAGCGACCCAGCTGCGTATCCGTCCAACATCTCCAAATGCTCATCCCGCCATCCAAGCCTAGTTTCACACCCCTATCCCTCTGTTCAGCTCCACGACCACCTCTACCTCTGTCCGCTCCCCGGCTGACCTGGATGACGGCACGCGGCTCGTCCGCATCATCCTCGTAATCGCTGCCGCGTCGGACGTCATCCTCGTCGTCGCTGCCCGCCGGCTTGGTCGGCGCAGGCGCCGCCGCTGCTGCCGTCTCGGCTTCCCCCTCGTCGTCGCTAATGTCGGAAGCGTCACCGAAAAGGTCGGCGGCGTCCACGTCTGAATACAGCCAAACGACGGTCAGTTTGATGGAAACCATTGATGAGTTGTTCTCGGTCGTAACTATGAAGCATCACAGGCAGAGTAATTCGGGCAAAGGCACCAGCTGTTCAATGGTAGACAATATACCTTTAAGATGTGGAAGTAAATTAATAAAAGCCTAATTCATTCGACGGAAGAAGCATGGCGTAGCGACATGACAGCGGCCTTCAGGGCTCCCTTGAGCCGATAGGCCACGACGCAAGAGCCCAAGCAGCCAGAAGGAACACAAATAACAGCAAAAGTAACACACACATTTCCAATGACTCGTGTAAAGACCTCATCCTAGCTCAACATTAATTTTTTCTTTTCAGTCGACGTACCCTTAACGGACTCGTCTCCGTCACTGTCGGCCTTGGCCTTCTTCTTGTCGGCCTTGGTGCTGCCACCGGAGTCAGAGTCGCTGACGACGGCACGCTTACGTTTCCTGAAACGGGTCACCGCGCGGGTCAGTGGGTCATCAGCTGCATTACAAGTTACAAACACACGACTGAGGAACAGGAGCATGACAGATTCCGGGTTAGTTTAACGGTTTACTTCATCGGTGCTAATAGCGACCTTTTGACCTATAACTATGACGGAATAAAGCAAGAGAATTGATAAATCACAATGTCGTCGATAAATATCCTCTCATTAGCGCCTATTGCACTCTGTTCTACTGTGCATCATAAGGAATCCTTGCCTCCTTTACTTTCCAAACTGCCACTCACCCCTCCTTGCCAGCTTCTGAGCCACCGTCCGAGTGCTCGCTGTCCGAATGAACTGAAAGGAGAGATGACACGTTTGATCATCCGGGGGACGGACAAATGCAAGTTGAACATGTGAAGTGACTGATGCCAGTCGCTGAGTTATTTTGAAGTGAAATAAGACAGAGAATGCGCTCAAGAACTGAGGCGTGACCCTGACTTACCAGAGGCGCGCTCGTCGGCGGCCGGCTGCGGGGACCGCGAGCCGGAACGGGACCGGCTGCGAGACCGATGGCTGCCAGACTTGCCGCTCTTCGCCGAGCCACGCGACTTCTCACTGCCAGCAGGACTGCCAGATCTAGCGCTGCCAGCAGGACTGCCAGATCTGGATCTAGCACTGCCGGCAGGACTGCCAGATCTAGCACTGCCGGCAGGACTTCTAGATCTAGCACTGCCAGCAGGACTGCCGGACCTGTGGCTCCCGGCGGGACTGCCAGACCTGTGACTCCCGGACTTTGCACTGCCAGCAGGACTGCCAGACCTCGCACTTCCAGCAGGGCTTCCAGACCTAGCACTGCCGGTAGGACTTCCCGACCTGTGGCTGCCAGCAGGACTTCCAGATCTGTGACTGCCTGACTTTGCACTGCCAGCAGGACTGCCCGACCTGTGGCTGCCAGCAGGACTGCCAGACCTAGCACTGCCAGCAGGGCTGCCTGATCTTTGGCTGCCAGCAGGGCTGCCAGACCTGTTGCTACCAGCTGGGCTTCTGGATCTTGCACTACCAGCAGGACTTCCCGACCTCGCACTTCCGGCAGGACTTCCTGACCTGTGGCTACCGGCAGGACTGCCAGACCGGTGGCTGCCAGCAGGACTTCCAGACCGGTGACTACCAGCAGGACTTCCCGATCTTTGACTACCAGCAGGACTTCCAGACCTGTGGCTTCCGGACTTTGCACTGCCAGCAGGACTGCCCGACCTGGACCTCACACTGCCTGCCGGGCTGCCGGATCTCGAGCTGGCTGCGGGGCTGCCCGACGCCGCGCTGCCGGCGGGACTGGCGGAGCCGGCGCTGCCCCGCGGACTGCCCGAGGCGGCGGTGGCCGGCCGGTTACCGGAGTGGTGACTGCCGGCGGGGCTCGCCGAGCGGGAGGCACTGCGGCGCGGCGAGCCGGAGCCGGCCGGCGACGCCGAGCGGCTGCCCGAGCTGGCGTCACTCTCCGAGCCTGTGGACAGAAATATGATGGTATGTGATGACATGATATACGATATGAGAGGTAACAGACGGAACAAGACTAGGTCTAGGTTACCAGCTCATCAGAAATGATAAAAAAACAAATGGTTGTTGCTAGCTTAGGAGCATTAGTTCATCAAAATGAGCTAAAAATACATTGTTTCATTATGTTTGAATGCAATTATATCAAATACTTACCAGAATTGTCATCACTAGATGACAAGTTCTGATCATACACCATCTTTGATTAGTCAATTGATGCTATCTGGATTAGTCCTGGAACAAAAGCATTGGTAACAGATCAGTAAACAAGTAAACAACATAGTAAATTGTAGCCTGTAAGGCCTACAGCTTTAGAGATACAGAACAATGTTTTAGATATTAAAGGTGTAGAGTTAACAGGGCTATAAAACTGCTATCTCGGATTTTTTGAAATTTTTGGATTTTGAACCCAAAAAACCAAGTCTTGATTTTTTTAATATAACAACACAAAAATCCTTAACATTGTCTTGAATTTCGAAAAAAAAACTGGAGTATATGTGATAGTCATAGATATAAAAGTCTTTCGTTATGCCCCCGAGGTCATCTCAGGTCACGAACAGAATCTAACAGTTTTTCGCTAATAACTTCTGATAGAGGCGTGCTAGAGCGCTGAAAACGCCTTAGATGTGTTCGGCTCGACGCTGCGGATCGACTGATATGCAACATGACCTTTTCCGGTCAGGTCATGACCTTGACCTGAGGTCAAATTTTCAAGTTGACCTTTGAAGGTCAAATTATAGTTCATTCGACGCGTCTCGACGAGAGGAACACGATGCTGGCAAAAGTAATGTCATGGCTCTTTTGAGTCAAAAGTTATTGCCGAAAAAAACGTTTTTCGTAAAAACGGCTATTTTTGGAGTTTTTGCCCTCTGGAGGCTAAAGCGTTGACCTGAGGTCAAATCTGAGAACATTACTCAGAAAGGTCTGTAAAAGGGCTATGGAATGCGCTTTTCCGCGGCGCTGTAGCTCTATCGGTTCCCGAGATAGCCGTTGGCAGTTTCCAAAATGTTGAAATAGTGAACATTTTACCTTTGGTGACCTCTGGTGACCTGACCTTTGACCTGACCCCAAAAATTACCGAAGTGTTTTTGTCCTTTTCTTGGACGCTCTTTCGATTGCCGCTTACCGCGTGTCGCTACGTGGCCCAGGAGCCGAGTTAGAAGGAGGGGGGTGTTCAGACACCCCCCGCCCGGCGCGGAATCTCAGAGTACCGGTTCGGCGCGGGTTAATGTGCTGATCCTTGGTGACCTGACCTGGTATCATCAACGACCTCTAATAGCAACATATGTACTAGACAACTTACACCATATCACTGATTTTCGACATAATGAGTTTTATTCGATGTTATACCCAGGCTATAGCACATTCCCTAGAAGACTCGCGAACGGCAAAACATTTTATCTTTGACCTGATCTGTGACTTCATCGGTGACCCAGTTGTCAATGAAATTAGAGTTCCTTCGACCAAGTCTACAGGGCAATCGAAGGCCGTTTGAATTTTATGGATCTACAAAGTAGTTTAGGAGATACGAGGGGGCAAAAAAACGCCCCCCACTGCGCAACCTGCGGAAGGTGGCCGGGAGGCCCACCGCCTGCCGGGCCAACTCACCTGGCTGACTCGGCACTGGGCCTCCCGCTCTTCCGCGCGCCGCACGGTGGGGGGTATTTTCTCCCCTCATATCTCCGAAACTACTGGGCGGATCCATAAAATTTTAACATCATTCGCTAGCCCTGTAACATTTGTCGAAGGAACTCCAAGACTAAACGCCTGCCGGTTTAACAAAGGCTTAAACCAAGTTGCATTTGGGCCCTGTTTCACCGGTGATAGCAGCACGCTGCTAGCACGCTGCTATCACACGTGTCAAATTGGGTTTCCATGGAAACATCAACAAACCATGCCGTCGCCAATTTGTGCGATGTCATCAAATATAGCTGCCAACATCTTCAAGGCCGTGCGAAAAAATCAAACGCATTCAACGAGACAGCAACTCTGTTCCAAACGTAGCTATGAAAAAGCTCACGGATTACACGAAACGTCATTAGTGTGACGTCATCACATTACGTCAGCTCGCACAATTTGATAGTAGCGTGCTGCTATCACCGGTGAAACAGGGCCTAGATTTCATGCACCTCACATCAAAAATGGTCAAATTGAATCAACATGCAATAGGCATCGATAGAAAAGCAGCTCAAGCTGACATATTGGAAGCGCAGAGTGTCAGGTCAAGGTGATTCATTCAAGCCAAAGATTATCCTTTGAGTTATAGGGCACCATACGTTCTTTTTAACAGATACACAAGTGAAAATTGAAATAGACAAATTGCCTGTAAGGCCAAGCACGAACAAACACCCGCAAAGTATGTAAAAAACACTGACCAGCCCTTGGACCTTGGACCAGCCGTAACCTGCCCGTGGCCGTACCACTTCAGCAGTGTTATCAAGTGTTATTATTATATACCAATTTCTATACCTTGCCCTTGACCACTTATTCCCTGCCAAAATGCATATGCATGCCGTGCTGCCACGGCGGCCTGCATGCGCTGCATGCATTCGCGAATCATTTGCGGACCTTCAATCGTTCACGAGAGGCAAGAATACTGAATGATGACGATTAATGTTAAAATATGTTTAAGAGAGCGGTATTTTTGTTCTAAAATTTCTTTTTAGTCATGAAAATGATAGAAATAAATCAAAAAAATTTAAACATCATAAATTGTCATAAAAAATCTTGAAATTTTTCTCTGACATTATATATTATAGCGTCATCAAAAACATTACTTCGCGCACTCAGCAAAGTTGTTGGAGGCGAAACCAGCGCATTTGATGCCAAATAATGTTCAAATTAGTCATTTCAGCTACCTGCAAGCAGGTTTAGGCGATTGGTATACGTGGAAAGCAGACTCAGTGAGCAGATGTATTTTTATTTTTTGAACAGAATTTACGTTCCTTTTGCATTACACTTGCATTACCATTTGCATTACTCAGCTGCGTTTTGTGTCTGTCTGCCGCCTTTTCGTGCTGTGTTTCGTCGGCTGGTTACTGAGCATTGTAGTGTATTTGTTTGCTCATTTTGCTGTAAAAGTTGCTGTTGAGGAAATCTTTTTCAACACGTTTTCTATTGACACATTGATTATATTGGTAATTAAACCACATACTCTTAGGACGAATGGAACTTCGTTAAAAGAAAATGCTGTTCAATTCTTCAACATTGGAGACTCCTGATGAGATGATCCATGGTTGGTGGGAGCAACAGTTGCCAGTTGACGTCAGTTGAGAGGGATAGGCTATGTCTGGCTTTGAACTTTGAAGGGCACTTAAGACTTTGGCATCCAAATTTTCCCGTTACCTGGAATTGCGCGATCGGTTGGTGCTTGCGAAGGAGATGCTTGCCAATTAGATCTGTAAGAGGCAAAGGGAGCAGGATGCTCATAGGAATAATTGCTGCCTCTCTGTATAGTCTTCTTGATGTGTTTGTTGTACATGTTCTTGAAAATGTGAGGCCAGGTGGCTGGGGTGTACGCGGCAAGCTCTGCTCAGTGTGTAGGTTCAGGCTCGGTCAAGTCAACCCGTCCTGTCCATTCAAATGTTGAGCTTAGTTTTATAATAAGAACATTGTCTATTATACCACCATTGAAATTTAAAGGTCAAAGCGATTCAGTTCAAATTTTATAGATACCTACCCATATGATTGAATGATTGAATGAATAGGTGAACCAGAATACTGTTTGGCTCTGGTCTTACTAGCATGCAGCTGGTTTGTGCATGTAGCAAACCTAGCTGCTGACATTTATTGGCTTCTCAATGCACAGACCACATGAGATTGATCAATGAAAAGCTAGAAAACTAACAAGCTGACAACCTGCAGATGGAAAACTGTGGTTAGGGTTGAGAAGTGCCCAGAGGCTGGTGCCCACACTAAAGCTTGCTGAAATTTTAGCAAATGTGTAACAAGTGAGTTTTGTCAGATAAGGTACCTAATACATCTAGGAAAAAAATGGACTGGAAATAAATACACGTTATGCCGAATATGTCTGGCGTAGTGGCAGGATTGTGCCAAAAATTTCAGTGCACATCCGGCGTAGCTTCGCATTCGCTGAATTCAGCGCCTGGCAGAGGCTGGATTATCTGGTGTGGGGTGGCTGCATAATTTTTGGGGGAAAGACGGTCACCAAATTTAGTCGGCACGCTGGTCAATCTAGCAGCAGATTCGCTCTGCAGGCGGCTTTGGAGATATTTCGGGACGAGACGTCTCCGCCCCGGTCGTCGCGTGCTCGAACTGGGGAGCCACCCTGAGTCTACTCAGCGGAGGAGCAACCACCCAGGTGACGCCTCAACCCTCGGCGTGAAGATAGGTATAGAAGACCTTGTTGAATATCGCCGAGCATCGTTAGGTAATACTGCAGTGGGTTCCTGTCCTGTCCACTGCGGTATCGAGGGTAAAGAGAGCGCAGACAACCTGGCGAAACAAGCAACCGCCCTGCCCTCAAACGCACGCTCACTGACCAGGGCGGTGCATGGTACGGCATCGTATCAATTGCGCGACAACTAACTAGTCCGAGTCAGTCCGAGTCTCTATTCAAGCCACTCCTCGTTAGCGGCGTGCACCGAATCTGCTGTCTCCACTCCGCGGCGTGCCAGCAGTGCCCAGGCAAGCGGTGCCCAAAACAATAAACAATCGTTGACTCTCACGCTGAACGCATTTCGTCGGACTCTGGAGGTGGATTTGAACTTTGAACAGACTCTGGATGTGAAGAGCTCCCATATGTGCTCATGAGTCCGGGACGCTGTTGCATATTCACCTAAACACCTGGTCACTATCCAGCAGAGTATTATTGTGCTGTGCTTATGTAAACTTCTTTTCAGTCTGCACTTTTTGGAAGACGACAACCAACATCATTCAGCCAACAAGATACACTGTTTCTGCTATGTAGTAATATTTTGTAGCTGTTATCCATATTGAAAGTAATCAAAATGGCTAATTCGGAACTGAAGTCATTATTTCATTTAAAGAGGTAAGTAGAACATATGCTAGATGTTCTCTCAGTTGCATAAAGTGCATGTCCGTTTTGAGTCATTTTTACGGTGTTACCTGTTGTGAAAAGGACATCATTTTCAATTAAATCCAGCCCTCCCCTACGTGGGCTCTGCTATTGATTTTTCGCTCTGGTGTTGATGCAAATGCTCCACCCCACAGGCTGCCATCTGGTCTGCCGCTGCTGCTCTGCCTGCTGTACACACCGCTGGGACTATGTCTGCTGGTGGTGCGGTTCTTCATCAGTGCCCAGGCCCTGCTGGCCTTCACTGTGCTCCATTCAGACAGCCCACTGCGCAGGTAACTACGCAATTAACTCCACTCGATTGGAGAGGTGTGATGTGACATTTGAGATTTGCTTTATAAGAATTACACTACAAGCAAGCGTGATAAAGCCTAATTTACTGAAAGATGTAATCTGGTCCTGGATGCCTAATTGAATGTTACCTCGATACACTGAGTTGGTACAAGCCTTCTCATCCGATATTGAAACACGCAAAATATCGCTACGATCCCTTGTAATGACGCTACGCGAGTCCTTTGGCGTGAATAAGGGCGTTATGCTCTCCTTCTCTTCGTCCTTTATTTTGTAACTCATGTCTTGTTACGAGCGATCGAGCGCAGCGAGCGAGCGAGTTCATACTGAATTAAGGGAAAATCCTGAGTATGAGCGGCCGGCCGTGAGGACGCTCTTCAAAAGCCACTTGGACGTAAAAGTTCTGTGGTGTGATGGCCACCATGCGTTCTTGCCAACCACCGCACGTGGCGCGTGGTAAAGTTGGACATTTTTTAAGAAACCCCAAAATTGCAACCTCAATAACGGCACAACCGTTGGGCCGATTGAATTAAAACTCGGTACACAGTTAGGTCTCCATCAGATAATTCATCTGCATGTGTTAAGGTTGGGGTGCTACAGCACGTGCGCACGTGCAGGGGGCGGTCCCAGATCTCGAACACGGCTGGGCCGATTGCGCTCAAATTTGGTACACGGTTGGGAACCAGTTAGTAGGGTGCCGTGCAAAAGTCAGTTTGGACCCCGCTTGCACGTGCGCACGTGCAGAATGCCGCTTCCAGATCTCAGGAACGGCTGGCTGGGCCGATTGCGTTCAAATTTGGCACACCGCTAGCGACCGGTTAGAAGGGTGCTTTGCACAAGCCCGTTGGAAGTACCCTCTCGCCCTTGCGCACGTGCAGGGCTCACTATCTCGCTCGCTCGTTCTTCGCCCAAAAGGTGTTTTACTGGTGTGCTACATTGGGAATGGTGGTGAGGGAACTACGAGGCGATGTCCCCCGTTCCCGCCCCTTCCCCCCAAGCCTGGTGATCTGGGTCATATTGTCTGCCGTGTTATGAGTGGTGGTACATAATTATCTTCTGATGAGAAAATGTCCTCATTTCCCAGTCTGGTGATATGGCTCATGTCTGCTGTTCTGGTAGTAGTGGAACGCTCCTCTGACACCTCTATGTTTCCCTTGTCCGCAGCTTTGTGGTACGAGTCATGTCTGCGGTGCTGGGAGTGGTGGTTCGCACCGATCCTGACCACCGGCCGGACGGACGGCCGCGCCTGCTGCTGGCCAACAGTGTCTCCTGTCTGGACCCGCTGGCGCTCCAGCTGGCCACCTCATGCGACTCGGTGAGTGAGGGCACCGGGGGGTGGTCCGCCCGGTGGTGGTTCGTCCGGTGATGACCCATGTGGTAGTGATCCGTCTGCTGGTGCAGGCGATGGTGCGGTCTCTGCCTCTCTGGTGTTGCAGTGACTGTTATGAAGAGTGGCTCGTGTCCCACTCTTTATAACAGAGGAGATTGGGGAGGAGTGATGGACTCAGTTAGAATGTGGGAAATCGAAAAAGATATCGAGTGGCGGGGCGTGACTAGGAAAACGTCGTGCCTTGACATTGAGTCATCCGAACCGTTAGTAAGAAGAATGTGCTGTTCTGTTGTGGGATATATCAGATTGCTGTGCTAGATAACAGTTCTTACTTTTTATGAATATGCGAGTTGTTTGGTCTTATCTGACATTTTTTACTTAACTATGTCATGGGAGGTTTTTTACCACTATTTCCCGGTTTTGCCATTTATCTTGTACTTTTTTTGAACACTTGAAGTTCATCTCCTGACATCGCTGGCACGTGAATTCTTTCTTTTTTGCAAGGCTATCTCAACGACTGCGAGCACGTTCCGAATGACGTCACGTATCACCGGCGTCATCTGAGAAACGTGTTTCCCGCTCGTTTTTGTTTTTGCTTGATATTTTTGGTTTACCGGTATTTACTGTGCGAGACCATCTTCGTTGGGTGGTTTTCACTTGCTTAGTCCGAACTAAAGGCTATCGGGAAATTTCTTTGGCGCTTCGTTTTACGTTTATTTCATTGTTTATCATATCAATCTGACCTAACCGGCTTGGCGAGGTACTGTCATAAGATTCAGCCCTTTTGTCTTTTTGTAAGTTGGTAATCGGACCTGCTCCTCCACATCGGTATTTGGTCCTTACTTGTTTTCCTTTATCTGACCAAATGGCCACTGGCGTGCGCAGGAATATGCAATATGCATAGCCTCTAACTGACCGTGTCAGTCTCATGTAGGGTCACACTATCGCTGGGCTTCTTGAATGGATCACTATGCGTGTTGTCATGCTCTACCCTGACCTGTCAACACCAGGACCCCTCTGCGTGCTGTCCTGATCCGTCTCTGCCGACCCCAGGGCTGTGCGGCCGGCACCTGGTCAGTGGTGCAGTACGCCCTCCGTCAGCGGGTGCTCGCTAGTCCGGAGGCTGTACAGCAGTTCCTGGCCGCAGAGGGCCGCTCGCTGCTGCTCCAGCCGGAGGGCGCCAACACCAGCGGACGCGCCGGACTGCTCAAGTAAGAATTCTGTTCGGACGCGCCGGACTGCTCAAGTAAGAACGCAGGTCGGACGGCCGGACTGCTCAAGTAAGGACGCAGATCTGACGGTATCCACTGACTTTTGGAATGTTCAGTTCAGTAGATCGGTAGAGAGTCCGGTTTTTTGGTAGAGTGGGATGCTTAGGGCAGTAATAGGTGGTTTTACAAATATTTTTATAAAAATATTTTCATAGAATCATAGAGGGACAATGGTCCTGGTTCGTCTAGAGTACCTTTGCACACGATGTTTAATGAACCGTTTCATGCGGAATCTCGGAACGTCAAAAAGGAACATACAGAGCGCGTATGCAGTCACCTTTTGTCAAACGATTACAGCTTAACAACCATGTTCGTTTGATTGCTTTGTATGACCAGAGATAATAGTTCCCTTGCTCATTGTCTTTTTCCTGATGGGTACCTTTTGCAAGGATAGATATTTTTCGCTTAACACACCATTTAAAGCTTTAAGCCTGTTCTGGAAGTTACGCGCTCTGTTTAGTGATAGCCGTGATCCCTGAAGATGTGCTCGGATAGTTGCACAATAGTGGCTCCACTCTGAGTCAGCTCGATCATGGCCAAAGTTCAATGGCGGTCCGCTCCGTCGCGCTGACGGGGAAGTTTGCTACTTCAGTAGTCGGTGACACGGCAGACGGCGGTACGATGTGTCGTTTTTACTCTCACTGGCCGGCCTGATGGAGAGTGGGAATAGCCCAGTGCTAGCAGAGCTGCAGCAAGGCTGTCAATGATTGCTTTTGTTGCCGATATGAGTGCTCATTATTTCTCAACTGTTCTTTTTCAAACCCTATAACCCCATAATAAACAAAACGTATAACTAAGCCCTCGCTGTCGTAGGTGGTCAAGCTAAGGTATTTATCTTTTTTTGACATCCGGAGCCCAGTTTGGTATGTGATAACCGTGCTACATTAATTTCGGCAGATATTTGCCGGTATTGCTTCTTACCTCTGACTGACTGTTTTCCCGTGGTTCAGGTTCTCGCCACAGAACGTGCCGACCACGCTGGAGGTGCAGCCGGTGGCGATCCGCGCCCAGCGGCTGCCGCTGGCCGACGTCAGCGTCAGCACCCTGACGTCATCGGCGCTCTCCGACCTGCTCTACTTCCTGTTCGTGCCGGGCACCCTGTTCACCGTCAGGTGGGTCCTGCTCTACTTTCTGTTCGTGCCGGGCACCCTGTTCACCGTCAGGTGGGTCCTGCTGTACCTCCTGTTCGTGCCGGGCACCCTGTTCACCGTCAGGTGGGTCCTGCTCTTCCTCCTGTTCGTTCAGCTTCGAGCTCTTGAAAGTATGGGATTTGAGGCGCTGTCCGTGCGTATTTGACACTAATGTTATGCTCTTGTCAGTGTCTTGCTAATGAGCAGATATGTTTGGTTCATCACTGGATTGCACCGTCCGATTTCAGTATGTGGATTGTGGATTTATGATGTTGGGCATTGTTGAATTACATCTGTTATATTATATATACCTGTTCTCAAATCTTGATGTACCTTTCCAGTTTTCTGAAGCCAATTAAGATGGAAGAGGGAGAAGCGATTGCAGAATTTTTGGAACGCGTCCGACTGGCAATAGCACTTCATTTGAAAATAACGCCTACCAAGTTTTCTGCAGGCGATAAAGTGAGTTCTGTTCGTGAAATGATATGCTTTATTGTGCTTTTTGTTGACGTGATTTACATGTAATGTCGACTGTTACTCTCAAATATGTCATTTAGTGCATCTATATTCACCGTGAGGCGGGGCCTGCAGTATTGGATATTCTCTCCCCACTGGCGTATAATCGATTATCTCCGTGACCAGGCAGCGTCTATTCTCACAGTCCTGACGTATTATCGACTATCTTTGCGGCCAGACGGAGCCTGGGTGTATCACACATTTTCTCGGTGCTCGTGCATGATGTGACCGACTATCTCTGCTTCCAGGCAGAGCTGGTGAAGCGCGAGACGTTTGTGGCGGCGCCGCGGCCTCCCCGGCCGGCCGGTGTCGGCGCTGAGCTGCAGAGGATGGCCGGCCAGGTGAAGGAGGTGCTGCCCCGCGTGCCCCTGGCCACCATCATGACTGACCTCAGTGAGTTTTCGGCAGTCGCATCTTGACATGATTTTGGTGGTGGGGACAGGACTACAGCTGACGGCGAGCTGGCGTGCGGCTGAGCTTTTTGTTGTGTTTGTCGTGAAGCATGCAACGCATAGAAAAAGTCAGATTGTTGGTGTGATATCTGTGAAGATGAACTCACGTTATACCAGTTGCTGTTGAAGAGGATCATGGAGTACATAACCAGTAATGAGCCGCACTCGTCCCGTTGTCTTCGTTTCTAACTCTCCCGTCTGTGTGCCCTCAGAGCGGACCCGCAGCGTGGACCAGACGATCGCCAACCTCCTGGAGGGTGTGGTGCGGTACGTTCCGGAGCCGGCCGCCGCCGCCGCCGCCGGCCCGGCCGCCGGCGCCGCGGCGGGGCCGGCCGGCGCGCCGCTGCGGCCCGGCGCCACCGACCTGCACACGGGCGCCGATACGTTCTCCCGTACCTCGGCCGGCCGACAGCTGTCGTTTGAGGAGCGCAAACGGCGCCTGCTCGAGAACGCCCGGCGGCGCTACATCGAGCGACACGGTCTCAAGGTGCCGGGCTACAACTGCTGACGGCGGCCCGGCTGCTGAGACTGCTGATCGCTGCTGAGCCTGCTGATAACTGTAGACGGTGATGTACCCTTACCCGACGGGTCACCGGGGCGGGCCACCGCGCCGCTAACTCAGACCCGCCCCCTGTCTGGCCGACCTTCCGTCGAGACAGACGGCTGCAGCCGTGTCGGCTGCTGAGATCTGTACATTACATGTACCGCCAACCGGGGAGCTGGGGCTCTGTCCCGGGAATCTGAGCAATTATGACGGAGCTGGCGTAGCTGGCTTCCCATACTGACATGAATACTGCTGCTACGTCGTGAGCTTGTTTGTTAGAGCGTCAGTCTCTTGTGTAAGATCCACTCCGGACTGCCCGAATGAGATAGCGAGCAGCTCGCTAGTACCGTACCGAATATGTATTTTCTGGCAGTGATACCTGGACGTGAGATCGTGGTTGTGTGTCCCACGGTTGTCAGGCGCCGGGCTGTCGGGTCGTTGTTGAGTTGACAGGTGTGTGGTTGGTACTTTGTCTGGGTGGGATGGTTCAGTGGGGTGCGGTGGCGGGCCGGTTTCTGGTCCACGCCAGACCGCTTGGTCCGCACTGGATCGGCTCTCACAGGTCCCGTCTTGCCGCCGGTTGCGTTCGCTGCTGGTGGTGTCTGAACCCCCGCTGTCCAGCCCGTCTCCAGAGTCGACCGCCAACGCTGGCACGGATTTTTGGTACGGAATGTCAAACAATTATGACTTAATATAATTAAAAGATGGCTGCTTGTTTGCTACTGCTAGTGCCAAGTACTGGTGTTAGGTGGCTTTCCAGGCCCATGTCCCGAGCACGGACTCATCTTGCAGCGATAGCGTTTAGGTGTAATATCATTTGTCGATCTGCATTGCCTGAAGTGAGTAGTGTTCATGTAAAGTAAAGTTTATCGAGGGTAATTTGCTCTGGTATCGTAACCGACTTAATCAAATACTGAAGTGAGAGGTTTTCGCGATAATATAGAGGTGAATGATGTTCTTGAGAATAAATATCGAGACATTATCTTTATTGATTTACTCGTTTCCATCCTCCACGCTCGATACCAGCTGAGTAGCTACGGTTTACTAGCATCCAGTAGCCTTTTGATTTACGAGTAGGTGTGAACAGCAGGTGTATCGCAGCTTACTGAATGCCTCGGCCTGCCATTTTTTGCTGATGTCTCCTTCGACCTTTGACATCACGCGCCTCGTGACTGATACCATGGATGTCACGTGAAATGTGTCTGCCATCAAATTGTCCTTATCTTGTCGCGTGACTGTGGTTCGACCTCCATATTCGAGTTGTTCCATCTCGCAGCCGGGAGGCCTTCTGATAGACCGCGTCGAATGTGTAAACTGACTGGTCTGTGCGTGAAACGCCATGGATAGATATTTAGGTACTATGATCACTGCCGGTTAGCATCCAGACCTGGTCCGTTTCGTGATTACATTCAGGGCAGATGATAATGAAGATGATATATTTACCTGCACCACGAATCACGATACAATGTATAGGGAGGCTCAAGTCTTCAAACTACTTTAAACGTCAAACTATGAGGAAAAAACTTGTGATTTTTCGTTGTCATGTATCGACACTAGCAGTCCTAAATACAATATAACGATGCACACGTGTTAACATTAGGCACATTGTTTTATAGTCCAGACATCACTGGCACCATTTTCAGCTCACCGCAGTTCCGACAGTCATCAGTGATTAGGAATATAGGCGGCCACTTCATACTTGAACACTACAGCACGTGTCCTTGGAACACTTGACTCTGTGACCTAGATACACTGCGAGTCGGGACGCATGAGACACTTGCGCTATCATGTTAAACGTAACGATATTGAGTATTGACTCTCGGACTCAACTTACATTTGACGACTGGAATCCAACGCTTCAGGGCATAACACTATCAATAAATATTTCAACGAATGACACTTATCTGTTACGTTGCACTGTCCCCTCTAGCTACAGTTTGCTCCGCATCTGCCCGTTTTCACTCAGTGTAAACCGTTTTCCCATCGTTCCTTGGGCGTTGTCCATTAGATGCTGCGGAATGCTGGGAACCTTTTCAGGCTCACTAGGCTTGGATGGCTCCTTTTCGGAAGTGGAGGCTCCAAGGGTGTACCTCTTGGCCATTGTGCCCTGGGCGTTGTCCATCAGATGCTGAGGCAGACGAGGGACAGACGCGCTTGACTTTGGAGTTTCCTGTTTAGCCGTGGATGTTCCAAGGGTGTGTCGCTTCCCCATCGTTCCTTGGGCATTGTCCATCAGATGTTGGGGAATTTGAGGAACTGTTTCAGGCTCACTAGGCCTTGAAGCTTCTTGTTTAGATGTTCCAAGGGTGTGTCGCTTTCCCATGGTTCCCTGGGCATTGTCCATCAAATACTGAGGAATTTGAGGAACTGTTTCAGGCTCACTGGGCTTCGATTGTTTTTCTTGGGCCGTGGAAGTTCCCAGGGTATACCTCTTGGCCATTGTTCCCTGAGCGTTGTCCATCAGATGCTGAGGGATGCTAGGAACCGTTTCAGGCTCACTAGTCTTGGAAGGTTCCTTTTCTTGGGCCGTGGAAGTTCCCAGAGTATACCTCTTGGCCATTGTGCCCTGAGCGTTGTCCATTAGATGTTGAGGGATGCTAGGAACCGTTTCAGGCTCACTAGTCTTGGAAGGTTCCTTTTCGGACGCGGAAGTTCGCAGGGTGAACCTTTTGGCCATCGTGCCCTGGGCGTTGTCCATCAGATGCTGGGGCAGACGGGGTACCGTCTCGTCGGCTGCGGCCTTGGGCGACATGTTCGGCATGCGACGATAGTGGCTCGGCTCGAGTCGTTCGTACCCAGTCGCTCTGAAGTGGCCAGACGGCGTGCCGTTGCTAGACGAAGTGTATTATCTCGTTGCTGACCGCCTATCTGCAAGGAAGGGAGACCCGAGTTCAGTTTGCAGACTGGTCGCTGCAGGTAATTTCATGAGGTGGTGGGGAACGTTTCGTTTTATTCTGGGTTACATGTGTGCCGCCGAGGCCGCTATCGCTCCTCAAACAGATGACAATGTTAGTCAGCCGCCACGGCAATGTGACTGAAATAGCCCATAGTTCAAAGTTACGATATAAATTCTTTTTTGGGGGCCGTTTTTTTTGGGATCAAGTTGACTAACGGAGTAATTAGCAGAGTCGTTACACAAGGTCATTGATCAGCTTGATCTAAAATTATGGGACAAAATAGTTACAAAAAATACCTTGTAATAACAGGCGCCGATGCTGTCTACCAATGCAAGGATACGGGCGGGTAGCAACTTTCGATAAGTGATTACAGAGCGAATGCGGATCCGAAAATTTTGAGCTGCGGTCTCAAAGAATAAACATGAAACTCACCTCGTAATATGATCCCAGCACGGCTCCTTCACAGACTTGTGACCAGAATACTGGCTTTTCCACAACCGGAGACCTCTCCTGCTCGGCTGTTCTCGATCGACAGACTTGCTGTCCTCAGCTGTAACTCAGACGCAGCTCGCGCTCTCTCAGCGTCTGCCGATGCTCCTTCCTCGCCTCGCAGATCGACTCTGCGGCGTCGTTCCCGACTCGTCCGACCTGACTGCCGAGCGGCGGACTTCCCGTCCCCCTCCTGAGATAACGTGGGTTCGGGGGTGGCGCTCGGGAAAACCGTGCCCTGAACAGCGTGAAGACCACACTTCTGGCCCGGAGAGCTGACACGTGCAGACCCGAAATGTGTGCCGACGAGGCCGCTATCGCTCCTCAAATAGGTGACAATGGCTCATGATACGTCCGGTCGTTCTTATCATGCCGCACGATAGCAGATAAGGACGTTTCTGGGGCGAATAGGTACAGATAATGTATGGGCTGGCCTTGTCTGGGTCGGTTTGGCTGACTTGCTATCTTCGGCGAGTCATGACTGGGAAGTTAAGTTTAAGCGCTTGGGAAGCCAGTGTGCATATTGAAGCGGATGTTCTCCTTGTGGGTGTCGCTCAACTGCGTGAGAATATACATACCAATATTTGTTGAGATGATATACCATAGGCGTAGGAACAGGGGGGGGGGGGGGGGCCGGGGGGGCCATGGCCCCCCCACTTTCGGAGGTGGGGGGGCCAGCAATGTTAACTGGCCCCCCCACTTTTTGCTGACTTAAGTGTCTGTCTGTACCTAACCTACCACCCGGTAACTTGACAACTATTCAGCTTGCCCTTTAATGAGGATTCCTTTTTGTTTCTACAGCGTTATTGACCGCAATTTCCTTCACTCAATGAAGGAAACCATATCAGAGACAAGACTGTGAGTCCTGGTGACAGCATTTTGTTGAATACGAGGCGCGGGACAGCGAGCACTGAAAAGGTATAGGCAATACTAAGACAATACTAGCACGGTGCAGGAGAATGCGTATACAAACGACCAACGCTTGACCTTATCTGCTTGGGGTCGGCATAGTTCGTCAAAGACGTACTAGCTGGGGGCCAGGGTGACCGTGCCTCAGCCTCGTTTCAAACAGGCTGGGGGCCAGCAATGTCTGTTTCTGCCCCTCCCCCTTCCACTTTCAGTGCAGTGACGGTCGCAGAGGGGGATCAGGGCCATGCCCTTCCCCCCTCCAAAGGCTAATCAGGGGGCCATCATATCATTTGGCCCCCCCAAACAACCAATGGGCCCCCATGGGCGTATGGGGCTAGTCTGGCCCTTATTCGATTGTCACGAGACTCAAGAATCCCACGCTAGCTATTAACAGCTCCCAAACCAGTCTTTGAGGGTCCTACACTGATCTCGGAGGGCCCTTCAGTGGCGGTCAAGCGCCCACATTGACCGCTGAGAACCCACATTGACCTCATTTGAGGGCCCCTAAACCGGCCTCAAGGGCCCAGCCGGCGTCTGAGGGCCTCACACCGGCCTCTGGTGACCTCATTTCTGTCTCTGGGGTGCCTTTAGGTGCCTTTGAGGGCCCCGCACTGAATTCTGAAGACCCGATGCCGGCCTCTAAGGGTCCGCATCGGCCTCTGAGGGTCCACCTTGGCCTGAGGGGTCCAACGCCGGCCCATGCCGGTCTTTTAGGGACCCACACTGACCTCTAAGGGCCCATGCTGACCTGTAAGGACCCACATTAGCCTATGAGGCCTTGCACGGGATTCTGAAGACCTGATGCCGGCCTCTGAGGCCCATCTTGGTTTTTGAGGGCCTTCTGCTGGTCTCTGGGTTCCAACACCGGCCCATGCCGGTATTTTAGGGTCCCACATTGACCTCTAAGGGCCCCGCACTGGATTCCGGAGATCCGATGCCGGTCTCCAACGGTCCGCATCGGCCTCTGAGGGCCCACCTTGGCCTATGAGGGCCCTCCGCTGGTCTCTAGGTTCCAAGTCCCTCCCATGCCGGTCTGTTACGGCCCCACACTGACCTCTAAGGGCCCATGCTGGCCTGTAAGGACACTCATTAGTCTCTGAGGGCCTTGCACTGGATTCTGAAGACCCGATGCTGGCCTCTGAGGCCCATCTTGGTTTTTGAGGGTCTTCTGCTGGCCTCTGGGGTCCAACACCGGCCCATGCCGGCATTTTAGGGTCCCACACTGACCTCTGAGGGCCCATACTGGCCTGTAAGGACCCACATTAGCCTCTGATGGCCCAAGTCGGCATCTTAAAGGAAAAGGGCCACCTTCGTGAAATATGAAGATATCGTTGTTTTTTATTTTGACATTATTATTTTTCATTTTCTTTTTAAAACTGGTGCCAGAAGTGCACAATTCGCTAAAAAGTATTTAAAACTATTTAACATATTGGTACTATGTTGATACTCTCTACGGCACCTACTGTATGATGGCATAGCGATGACGTCACACTCAAGCCAATCAGCGTTCAGAAGACAGACTCGTCGGATTGTGTCAGATAAGCTGATTGGTTAAAGCTGAGCTGGTTGGAGCTGATTGGTAAAAAACCAAAGCCTCGCCGCGGGTGGCTGTATTGTCGGATAAGAACGCATTCCTGGGATAAGGACGCATTCCTGGCGTATTTTCTTTTAAAATTGCCGATAACTACGAATGGAGGCCGAAATCGGCCGTAAGGAGGTAGACAGATAGGTTTTCGGACACGGGCTACAAGATGGCTATCTCAGTTTCAATCCCCATGTTAAAGGTGGCCCTTTTCCTTTAAGGTCTCATCCTGCCCTTTGCAGGCCCTGTACTGGTCTCTGAGGTCCTTAACCCTCGCCAGCCGGGGGGGGGGGGGGGGGTGCCGCCCCTCCATAGTTTTTTTTTCGCGATAGCTCCGAACACGCCGGCGATAGAGAGCTGAAGCTTGGCATACCTGACCTTTGAATCAAACGGGATCTTTTGACACCAACCGCATTTTCGGGTCAGATCAGGTCACTGACCCATGTGGTCATAAGTGAACCTCTGCACGGTCTTCAGATGTCGCAACTTCGCAACGCCCTCACTGCCAGAGGAGATTTCACAGGGAAATGAACCTTCGAGGACCTAGTATCCAATAGGAGTCTTTCAACTTGTATAATGTATATCTCGGATTTTTCCTAAAGTTCATATGAGGTCAGGTCATTTTCGTGACCTCACCATTAGGTATAAGTCAATGGGGATAAACTGAAAACTTTTTCTGGCGCCGGGAATGATCGATCTCCAACTATCTCAAGCACACCGAATCGTGATTTCATGCACTCCTTGCAAGGTTCGATGCGTCACTTTTGCAATGTTGACCTTGCGCGACGTCATTTATGAAGTTATAAGGGTCTTATTAGTTTTTCGTCAATAACTAGGTACTGATCAAATTGAGCTAGCGAGTCGGGAAAGCCACCTATGGACTCAAGAAGAACTGCCGAATCGAATGATATGCGACATGACCTCCTTCGACCAATTTCGTGACCTGGGGACGCCGACCTGACCGTGACCCGAGGTCAACACCCTAAGTTTACCTCACCCAAACAAAAAGTATATCATTCGACGCGCCTGAGAGAGGCGAACACGATGCTGGCAAAATCGCGGCTCTGCGGCCATTTTTTGCGAAGTTATTCACCAAAAACGGAACCGTGCCTTGAGGCACTTGACCTGACCTCAGAGGTCACCGGTTTTTGTTTGTTTTGTTGGGTTAGGCCCTTTCGGTCCAATGAGACCATTTCAGAGCCGGAAGGATGATAGGATATAGGGGGAGACATTGGTCTGGGCAGGCACCCTAGTGAGTCGCCGGGGCTGAGCCCGTCCAGAGGACAGGCCACCCAGCCCCAAGGCACTCACTGCACCCGGCTACGGGGTGCGCTCCCTCGGGAGCAGCGGTGCCGCTCCAAGGGAGCAGCCCGCATGAGATAAAGTTGCCTGTCCAGCCCGGAGGGGGCTGCGGTGTGGAGGAGAAGGATTTCAGTATCCTGAGGATAGAAGCACGGAACGGTGTCAGAGGTCACCGGTTGACCTAGGACCATAAAATCGGGTATCGATCTCTGCGTCCCGTAACGGCGCACACGCTCGTTTTACCGCGACGCGCTAGCTCCACCTGGGGCGAAACGGCGAGGGGGTCGTACCCGCCGGCCCGCCCCTTCGGCCAGCGCGTATGTAGAAAACCTATAGGACCGGGCCGTGGAGGGTTAAACTGGCCTCTGAAGGCCCAGACCGTCTAAAAATCCCACACCGGCCTCTGATAAGTGATAGTCAATCAGCCCAGTTGCAGTGGTCGCTGATATAAAACCTCTTAAAAACGTTATAGGCCTGGCTGAGCCTAGCTGGGCCGTTCATGCTGATTTTTATAGGTATATTGAAAAGACTCGCTTTGCACGTTTCACGCTTGCTCGTAATGAAAAAGTTGCTGGATGCCTCTGGAATTTGCATGGGTGCCAACGGCTGCGGAGGTCAGGGGAACGCGTCCATCAGTTTGAGCTTATGGACGGGAGACTCCCTGAAATTTCAACCATTTTTTTTCTTTTTTTGTCTCGATTTTTTTTTTACCTCTGAGCATGTTTGCGAAAACAAAGTGGCCGAAATCCGAGGAGAAATCGGATTTTGGGGGTAGGTTAGGTTTTGGACCTCTGGGACCCTGGCCCCCCCACTTTCGAAAACGTTCCTACGCCTATGTGATATACCTATTGGCATTGCTCTTTTGTTTACATAGTCAAGCGGTTGTTGCTTCTCATAAAAACGTGTACCTATTCATAAATAGTCGGTGGAAAGAGACCAAAGATATCGCAGGCCAAACCGAGATAACGAGATAACGCAGATTCAACTGTTCGGAGCGTAAGGTTCTGCTCTTCAGCCCTCTGTTTATTTGCTCTAGTTATATAACCGTCTGGTAAGACTCCTCCCCTCCGGTGAGGTCTTACCTATTCCATGAGGTCTCACTCATACAGTGAGACTCCTCCCCTCCGTTGAGGTCTCTCACTCGTAACGTTAGACTCCTCCACTGTCCGGTGAGGTTTCTCACTGGTATGGTACGGCGAGGTCTCCCACTTGTATGGCCCAGCAAGTTTCTCACTCGTATAGAAAGACTGCTCTTCCGCCTGGTGAGGTCTTTTCGACCATACGGGCGAGACAAGTAACGTCCGTCCTTCGAAACCTCTCGTAATTAACTGGTAGTGGTATCACTAACTAGACCAGAAAGGTAGCAGTATTCTATCGAGCGGCCTGTCTGCTGGGAGCCCTCACATGTAGCTTATGATGCCTGCCTCTCTTAGCCTCGTGACGACCTCTGTCGACTGTATATCTCTGCCTCCTCCCCGCCCTACCGCTCGCACCTGACTCGCCCGTTCCAGCCCGACCGGTGGGGCAGCTCGTCCGCCAATCAGCAGACGGGTCAACGACCTCGACTCGGCGCCGGGAGAGGACTCGACTCCAGCGGCCGTTTCGGGGTTCGACGGGCTGCTCCGCCTTCCCCGCAGCCTCTGCTGGTGTCTAACCTTGCTCAACGCTGTCGCCGGCTCTGGTGGCTCAGTTGGACATCAGACGGGCGGCCGAGCGAGGAGTTCAGTGCGTCTCTCCCCGGGTTCCATCTGTATTCTTTGACCCTCTGGCCGGTGCCGCACGCGGGACCCTATGTATTCCGATCAGTCCCCGGCAGCTTTTTGCACGGTGTACCGGTGTGGCGGAACGTCGCGGGTCCTGAAGGTATAGGGCCGAAGAGACGGTCTTGACTGCCAGCCCCTGTATACTGTGGTCTGCGCCGCCCGGCTGGACCAGCAGACATCACGCAATGGCAGGTGAGACCAGCGCTTCAGCCCTAGTGAAGTAAAATTAAGTAGACAATTTTGCTTTAGACGGTTGCGGTGTCGTTGCCTGTTATGTTCAGCGGGAAAAAGCGAAGATGTTTTACCTGCAATTTGGCGAACTAGTGAATGTATCGACAAACATTTTTAATTTCTCTTATTTAAATGTGCTATTAGCACCTTGATTTTCACAAATAAATTTCGCTCTACGATCTTTTTACCAGGTTCATTCTCCAATGCCGTGCTATTGTGGTGCTCTGGCTTCGACGTGTTCCTTTCTTCTTGTAATGATCATGCATTATTTTATTGTTTCGTTGTTTGTATATTTACCTTATAATAATTACTAGATGTTTTGTCGTTAAATTCTTCCCTTACTCCTGCCAGAAACATAAAACTTATCAATGTGTCCTTATGATCGATTTTTTTTTTCGTGAGTAGTTCATCTGATCTGGACATTTCTAACAATTCCGTTGAGCTCTTTTTATCCCAGTTTTAATTGTTGAAGTAACATGTCAACATGTATATGCGTGTGTATGACAACACTGATGTGATTGCAGGTTCCGTGGTCCGGCTGGCGGCGCTTCTGCTGTCTCCGCTGCTGCTGCTCCACACCACCACAGATGTCGCTGCTGCGGCGACGGTACCAGACCTTCTCGCTGTCGCCACCGATCCAGACGACGGACCCGAGCTCTGGCAGATCAAGCCGTCAGAGGTTACCCTCGAGGTGACTTCTTCCGGCCAGTCCTGTGAGGTGTGGGTGGGCGGGCGTCTGCTGCTCCACCGTCTCGGCCCGCCACTCGCTCTGCACGCTCTCTCTGTGAACCCACGGACCGGGCGCGCCACGGGGCACGTCATAGCATCCGGCGGTGTGCCGGCCGGAGCATTCGTGGAGATGGCAGCATTCATAGCCGACCTGCAGCCGGGCAGTGTGATCGTGCTCTGCCAGCATTCAGACGCAGAAATGGCTCTCGATGACACTTCAGACGAGATGTTTCGCTCACTGAACGCTAGTTTCGGGTCTGATCTGCAGGTGCGCTCGGCGCTGGCACTGGTCGCTGTGAAGGATGGTCCGATGCTAGCTGAGGGGTACCGCCCACACCTGGCGGCGCTGGAGCTCAACTCAACAGCACCCTCCGTTCGACTGGCTGTGTCGCTGCCGGTGGAGGCGCCCTGTCAGCCACCGATATCAAACTCTGTCTCCGACCGATCCAGGCTAGAGTTCTGTGAGAGATACGACGGCTACGGATCGCTGTGTGATTGTGACTCGCCGCTGCCGCTGCCACCCGTCCCCCGGCCGTTCACTGACGGAGAGCTGTTCCCGTTCCCCGTGATCGTGGTGTCTGCCGGCCGGCCACGCAACCTGCACCGATGTCTGGCCTCGCTGCTCGCCAACCCCGGCCTGGATCCGGCAAGGATTGTCGTCATCACCGCCAGTGAATCCGTGAACGAGTACTACAGCACCGATGACAGCAGTGACGGAGACGGAGAGGAGCTGCGGCACCTGTTACAACTGTACGGTGTCCGCTGGCACCCTGTGAATGCGTCACCGGTCAGCGGAGGTTTCACCGGCGGCTCACTACAGCATGCCGCTCTTCAGAATGCTCTCAGTTTGTTCCCCGCCGCAGAGAAACTTGTGCTGCTGGAAGACAGCGTCGTTGTATCGCCTGACCTGCTCAGCTTCTTCCAGCAGACGCATCACCTGCTGGACATAGACGTTAGCCTGTACGGCGTGTCAGCAGGTAATGAGCTCGGTTATCGACACGCTGTCTCGGACCGCACAGCTGTGTATAGAGTCGACTCGGCACCGGGCGGGGCGTGGCTCCTGACACGCCGTCTCGTCACAGACGATATCCTGCCGGTTTGGGGAGGGAGTGGGGGACCTGAGCCCGGGCTGAGTGAGTTACTAAGACTAGCCGACCTGCGCCTGGGACGTGAGTGCATCATCCCGGAGGTGCCGCGTTTCTACCGGTTTGTGTTCAATCAGAGTGATAACGGGACGGATTATCTGTACCACTGGGACCGGGCGTTGAGCCAGGGCCCGCCGGTGGCCCTGCGGGGCCTGGAGGACCTCCCCCTGCCGCGCTACCGGCGCCACCTGCAGGCACTCATCAGTAGCGCCACCAAACTGGACGGCACTCAGTCGCGGCTCGACTGTACGGAGATAGTACCCAGGAACGCCACCGCCGAGCCCCTGCTGCTCTCCGTGCTGATGATGAGCGGGTCGGACGGAGTCAGCTGGCAGCGAGCGGCCGCCTGTCTCGGTGTCTGGGACCGCGACCCGCGCGGCCACCACGCCGGCGTGTGGCGGCTGCGGCACGCGGGTGGCGGACCGCTGCTCGTACTGGCTGTACCGTTCTCGCCGCTCGCCGGGTATGCGACGCTGCACGGCCGCGGTACTATGCTGCTGGTATCGGCAGTGAGGTCTGCAGAGCAGCGGCGCCGTGGACGCTGGCCGCTGACTCTGCCCCGGCCCGGTCCTGACCGTGTGTTCGAGAGGTACCGCTGGGCAGCCGCGGCGGCGGGGCTGGACAGGACTCAGCTGGGGGAGGAGCTCGTTAGACGGGGTGTGGTAGATCATCACGACCTCACGGAAGATGAGGACGACGGAGATCTGAGGATGCGAGAGATGTCATAGGCGTGGCGATATTTTACTTAATGGATGAATGTGATAGTATTGGGCGGGCAGCCCAGTTATGTTTTATGACTGCTGGCCAGTGCTGGTTGTTTGCGATATTTCTATCACGCAGCCTGCAGGAATCGGTGATGTCTTTCGTGAGACGTGCGCTCAGCTCGGGGTACCGAGCGTTAGAATCTTGGTAATGTCGGGACTCGGGAGTGTGGTCAGTCAACGTTGTTAGCTTGTCGTACCGTAAAACGTTAGTTTTGAACCAATATTGAGCCAATAAATGACGTGTGGTCTATGCGTAGTTGTCGCAGCCGGTATCCACGCAGGTGGGGCTACCACATTGAGGCTTATTAGCGTGCCAGCATGCCATTTGCTAAGTGCTCAGCACTTCAGAGAAGGGTCTTGAATGTCAGTTTATTTATTCAAACCTGCACTCCACAAATACCGTGACGATGTTCCGACATTGCACTACGCGACAAACTACTCTCGTTTTGAGCGTCTCGCACCTAGAATAGACATAGCAACATACTATTTGACTCTCATCACTAACACTGTTAGTATATCACATTCACGGTATTTCGCGCACAGTATGACTGAAAACATTTGCTGTTTTCCGTATCACACCAATCAGTCGGTACAACGCTATTGCCATAGGAATTGGACCTCCCCCGGCCACCAGCTATGGCTCAAGTGTTCATTCGCGTCGCTAGATGGCGGGCTAGTAGGGATGGGCCACCACCCCAGCCCTGTAGTCGTATTGTGTCATGGCGTGCGGGTCGCTCATGCTGTGTCGGACGCGGCCGCGCACTTCGAAGCCCGGTTTCGGGTAGCCTCTCCTGTCGCCGTAGCCGTGCGCGGCGGGCGGCGCCTCCTCGGCGCGCTGGTGACGAGGCTCGTCGTCCCTGTAGAGGCGCGGGTCGTCCTGGTAGCGGCCGCGCGGCCGGGACTCGTCTCGGCGCTGCTCGCGCGCCGGCGCCGGCCGCCGCTCGCGCACGTCACAGCTGCGGTCGCGGCGGCGCGGCAGGTTCTGGCGGTAGTCGATCTCGAGCGTGGGCCGATGTCGGCCGGCGGGCTCGGCGGGCGGCAGCAGCGGGTCCCGGGCAGTGTCTCGGTCCAGGCCGGGCAGCCGGCTGGCGCCCTGCAGCTCCTGGTAGCGACTGCGCCGCTCGGCAGGCTGGCCGCCGCCGGAGCGGTGCCGGCCGGCCGGTGGTGGGGAGCTGGGCTGCTCGGCCGGCGCGCGGCCCCGCTGCCGCAGCTCGGCCGCCACCTGGGCTGAGGTGCGCCGCCACTGGGCCTGCTCCGACTCCAGGCCCGTGTCGCTGGAGCGCGACTTGGCCAGTCGGCCGGGCCGCGGCGCGTCGCTGGCCTCCGAGGGACGGCGCACTGCCGGCTGTCGGCGCGGCGGCGGCGGCTCCTGCACCGGCTCCGGCTCGAACTCTGACCAGTCGGGAGCGCGGCTGACACGCACCGGCGCCGCCGCCGGGTCCTCGAAGCTCATAGCGCGTGTGAAGGGCGTGGCCTCCGCGGCGCTGCGCACCCAGCGGTCGACGCGGGCGCGCACCTCGTCCGGGCGCGGGTCACTGTCGGCGGGGAACGGAGCGCTGTCGGCGGCCGGCGGGGGTGGCTCGACGTGCCGGCCGGTGCGCACGGCGCCGCGCACGCGCTCCTCGCCGCGGTCCTCGTGACGTCGGTGGTCGGCGCGCACCTCCGGACGGTACTCGGGCCGAGGCTCGGGGCGGCCGACGGGCTCGCGGCGCGGCCGGTCGAGCTCGTCAGGTGCTGCGCGTCTGAAGATGTCGGCCACGTGCGGCCGTCCGCGGGCGTCCCTCCTCAGATCCTCCTCAGTCGGGTCGGCGGCCGGAACGGGCGGGAGCGGCGCCGGCGGCTCCGGGCCGGCGCTGTCCGCCCGGGAGGCGCGCGGCCGGCGCCAGCCCTTCTCCGGCTCTCCCAGGCCGCCGTCCCTCGACTCGTGGCTGATGTTCAGGTTGTTGCGCACGTTTCTGGGGTCTCTGGGTTCGTCCCTGTCCGGCTGCGGCATACGCCATCCCTTCTCTGCGCGCGGGTCGCGGGAGGCAGGCGGAGGATCGGCTCTGCCGCCGGCGTCTGGCACGCTGTTCTGACGCCAGATGCGGCCGCCGCCGTGCTCCGGAACACCTGCGGCAGAGAACAGACGCGGTTAGAGCAGCTTATCATACCGGGCGACACGGCCGCACCCACTCCGGGATGGAGCCCACGCATGTAGCGCGCCTCACGGCCGGAACATGGCTCTCCGCCGCTTACTCAGGTATCACCAGACAACAGAGTGATGGATCGCCGCATTACCTGGTCGAGATAAAAAAGGTAGGCGCTCATTACAAACACAGGCGGGCCTAAAGAGGAACTGTAACCCTGGCTTCGGCTTACACCACCGAGAGATTATGTAGATGTCCTCTGGAATGCAGTCGCTGTGGCGCAATGAACCAGTGAGGCAAACGGGTCTTGCGCCCTGTCTATGAACCCCAGGGCCACCGGACAGGACCCTGATATATCGCCACTTTGTTATGGTGTAACTCGGTGGAGTAAGGGTCACTGAGATAATAATCATGTGCAAATAGAAAGTAATTTGCTGTCATTTGACTTGATTCCTGGCAATACCCTAACGAATATGCAAATACGTACGCTTTATCCTAGATGCAGGTAATTTTTATTTTCCATAAATGCGGAATGAACGTTTTTTAAGTTTTAAAAGACCTTATGACTACGTAGATACAGACCGAGCTCAAAGGTCTAAGGCACTGTAAGATACGACTGATGGGCAGTCAGTCTATCACCCGCGACTTTATCAGGGATTTTCCGTCATTATTCGTGGCACGCGAATATGACGTCATTCTCAACTCACCGATGCCGGGAGAGGTGGGCTTTTTCGGCGCCACGGCCGGCGGCGGGGTGACCTCTTTCTGCTCCATCTGCACAAACTTGAGCCGAGCATTGTTGAACCTGTCTTGTGGCGACGTCGAGGGCGATCTGAAACAAGATGAAACACAGATGGTCAGTTTTCGATGACTGGAGTAAAAGCTCGTCGTTTCGGGCATTTTTATGCGGAGATATGGTCCCTCGTATCACAATGAATGACTTTCATGCTGTAGATATGCAGGGGGCCTAAGAGGATTTCTCTATGAATAATTCACATCTAGCGGTGTCCACGGCTGTGCGGTTCGGCGATGACGGCCGTGTTTGCTGTCGGTTCATCCGCGGGGATTGGCGGGATCCGCCGCTTGGGACGGTGGTCGGTCGGTAGGTCGGTCCGTTATCTCATGGCCAGTGTGTCTCTCGATGGGTCTGATCAGCCACCGACCGGTAGGTACACCAGCGGCAGGCCACACGTTGGCCTCCAGTAGCCGCCGCCGAACGATGCCGGAGGAAGACCGGCACGGGCGATGAGACACAGGCGATGGGAGCTTTAGACGGTGGATGACCGTGTCCGTCATAGAGTAATGGGAGACGGCGGACTATCGCTGGGCAATGAGAAACGGCGGAGGACCATCACTCATGGGCAATGAGAAACGGCGGATGACCATTACCGGGGCAATGGGAGGCGGTGGAGGACCATCATCTGGCAATGGGAGGTGGCAGAGGACCATCAATGGGCAATGGGTGACAGCGGACGACCTAACGAGCGGTGGAATACAGACGGGCAATGGGAGGCTCCGATGACAGACTCCGTTTGCGAGCCATGTGATACGATTGGGGACCGCCACCGGTGGCTGAGGGCCGATCGTGGCCACACCGACAGACGGCGGATTACGGAAACCTGACGAGCGGCGGGGAATTTGCACTCAAAGCGGGTCACAGGGACGTGATTTAAACGGTGATGTGAGTCCCTACTGCTTCATTCAGTTTCACTAATCGCAGCGGGAATGGATTCGGTATGACGGGATGTAAAGGGACACACGGGACAAGGTCGAGATGAGACGGGACAAGACCTGGGACAAAGCCAAACAAATAGGGGATATACGGACGGACAGAGATGGGCGGAATAGACAGAGCAGGACGGGTGAGTTAGAGACAGCTCAGCAATAGAGTTGCGGGCCAGACGTCCGTGAGATGTCATTTAAATGCAACCATTGAAGCTGCCAACCGTCTTACAGCGTGGAAAGGATTGCAAGGAGCAGGTGAGACACATTGCTAACAGGAAGACAGGCAGACATTACTGGTTGAAGAGTAGCATTAGACGGGATAACGAGGCGACATTCGAGTGACGACACGCGATAATGTCAGCAACGCTGTCCGAACAAGATGCCAGCTTAAGATGACAATAACAAATACAATGTGTTCATTGCGTAGCCGATTACAGAGCTAAGACTTCCATACCACGGTGCTTCAAGGTTGGAGCCGTCAAATACAATGCGTGTGATTGTGAACCCGTTTTAAAGTCAACAAGGCCTCGTCCGACCTGATTCGGTCTGAGAGCTATTGTTGAGTGAGTGTGGAGCCACCCGCCGGCCCAGTCAATTCTCTATATACCGTGGCCCAGTCGTTTTCCGAGCGAACAGCGTGCGCCGCACTTGAATAGGCCGTTGCGTAATTTGGGTGACGGCGGGCAACGAGCATCTTTCGAGGGAACGCATGCCTTGTACGCAGCATTTCATTCTTGCGACATAAACCACACAATGCAACGGGGACCGAGTTGAGTCGTCTCGTAAAGATTCGAGCTTCTTCGTTCTTCGTGACGTAAACTGCCTGTCACCATTTGTCTCAGTATTACATGAGCCACGTGACGAAGGTGCCCGCTAGTCACCAGAAACGTGATTTTCGTTAGACATTATGACATGTCATTACAAGGGGCACCATCTTTCCTGTGTGATGACACACACCAGTAAAATGGACATACAGAATCGGTCTAATTTCCTCCAGTCTTCCACATCAGAGGAGCCTGTCTTCCGTAATCAGCAGCTGAGGTGGATGAATGGCGACGTAGTTTGCAGCAAAAAGTGAGTTAAATGCGCACAAATCAGCCCAAAGCTGTGTGGCGCAGGGAAGGATCCGGACACGCAGGACCCTGCAGCGGGCTGTGCGTCGGTGAAAGCCTCGCTCCGTCTGCCGGGGGCGGCTCGGCAGGCGGCTGCTGACGCAAGCTGTGCGTTGCCGCCGCGGGCCAGGGGTGCGGCCAGCCGGCTCCGGTCCGACCAGAGCGGGGTACGGAGCGGGACCGCCGCCGGCGTCTCTGTTTTTACCGACACCGGCCAGTTGGTCTACCAACAAAAACACTCGGCCGGTCGCGGCGGCCCGCGCCGGCGGCTGAGGTATGGCCGCGCCGACAACTGGAAGGTGGGTGGCACGGCGCCCCGGTGCACGGAGCGGCGCGGTGACGACTGAACGCACAACGTGGGTTATGGACCTCTCGACTACTGACGACTGGGAACACAACAGGGACCATGGTATGGATGATGGATGGGCACAGAAACAGAGTACAAAAAGTGACCGGGGTTTCTCAAACGCTCAGGCCGGCCAGAGCGTCGTCCGGTCTTTATAAATGGAGCAGGGAAAGTAAAGCCACACTGGCGACATAAATGAAATGTGACTGGATGTCAACACGATCAAACTGCCATCATATTGAATTATAATCAGCTGCAGTTCGGCTATATTCACTCCATCGGACCGACCGAGCGGGCTGGTTTTTTTTTAATTTAATTTTACACACCATTGTAACTTAGGGCAATAATGCATATCACTACTTTCATCACTGGAAACTTTAAACTCAGTATACCGTTTCCATTCAATGCAGCAGAAGAAAGGATGTAGCAACGACCACGCCCATCGTGACCTTCGCTACCTTCCTCATCCCTATCGCACCATTCTATCCATCAGTTCCGTTTAACTGAATGATTGAGGCGTACATAAATAGACTGTAAAAACATTAATCCCTTCAAGTCGGCTCCTAATAATCTCCGAGACGAAATCACGCCATCTTTCCTCTTCTGGCTGAAGGGAAGCGGAAGGGACTGACAGACTCTAATGAGCTCTGTGGTTTAGGGCTCTCAGCACCACTCCAGACGGAGCTGGTAGATCAGGGAAGCGGCAGCAATTATGAACGAAGCATGAGCAGTGTAGTACAGACGAATGGTCACATTAGCTGTTGTTGTTGTTGTTGTTGTTCCCTCCGCCACCCCCCCCCCCTAGGGGGGCGTAGCCAGACGGCTCAGTTGGGCTCGAAAGCCGGCGGCCAAAGCCGCCACCACGCCGTCGTCCTGTAGGTCGGTCATCGTAGGGTGGATCGTGCGGTCACATTAGCTTGTTTCTGTAATCGACGCAGGGTTGGGGCGCAGCAGGTAGCTCAAATTACTTGTTGCAATCCCGTACTATAACTGAAGTTAAACTTGAATTCCGAGTAATGAAATTTGGAAATAGTTTACTGTATATATCTAGCTTATTCTGGATGAAATGCAATGCAGGTCGCATAGCAGAGAAACAACTTAAAATTGACCTCCAATGTAACTCTGGTTTTGCCCTGTTCCATCTCAGATCGATTGGGTGCTCGTGGTTGTCCGCTCGTTCCGTGACCACCTCCGCGGACAATGTCCGGGCTGTGATATCCCGTGCTGCCCCCTCTGCCGGCCGGAGCGGGGCCGGCCGGCCGCTCGGCGTCACTTTCACGCCGCAGGATGAAGGTCGGCTGCAGGGAGCGGTCCGGGAGGCGGCTCCGAGGGGAGACACCTCCCCTGCCGCCGCCGGCCGTCACCTGTCCCACTCTGGCTCCGGGTCAGGGACATCCCCAGCCGCCCCCGGCCCACGCGCACCGCCAGGACAGAGCTGCTCGCTGTTCGGCCCGCTTTTCCGGCAGTTTCAGCCCGACACCAACAATGGCTCAGCACCCAATTACGTGGGTGGCAGCAAGGCAGACGCCGACATTTTCGTCTCAGACAAAGCCTGGAAACTCAGCGACTTTGAACCGCTGACCTTCGGTGAATTAGAATGCTTCGCCAAGTGCCTGCAATGGGATGCTCTGAGTGTCCAAGGGGCACGGCCGATTGTCCCAAATAGCAAATCACCGTTCGTGTTCACCCTTGAGGATTCCCTGTTTGGCGGCAGTAAGCCCGTGCGATCAGTGATCACCAGAGTCGCGTCCCTCCCCGAACTGTGCTTCAGAGACAGTTTGCAGCTGACAGCAGGGTGTCCGCTCCGTGGGGGTGGAGCGGCGACTTTGTACCGCTTTATCACCGGCTTACCGAGCTCGTCAGAAGTCGGGTTTAAACCCCTCCCCGCCACATGTCCGCCGTACGGGATCTCTCCATAGAGCCCCGCTGGCGGTCACCGTCGGTAAAAAGTCACGATGTTTCTGGCGTGAGCGCCAGGCGGGACTGTCGTCGAAGGCCAATCACGACCGCAGACGCCGCTTCCTCGGCCGCAGCTCGCTTTGGTCCGGTTCGGTTCGGATCGTGGTGTGATGAGGTAGAACGGGAGGGTGCGGGACGGTTTGGGCGTGGCGGGACGGCCGGGACGGAGCAGGGTTGGAGGTAATTATGTAATTATATGGCGGTAAATACGCACCTCTGGCGCTGGCTGGGCGGTTTTCGGGAGGATGAGTGTCCAGATGTGAGCAGTTCGTCCGTGTCGGGACTCTGTCCGCCGGCCGAGCGCCGGCCACCGCGCCATCCGGACCTGAAACAACAGCAGATGGGTGTGGGGTGTGAGAACTGGGGGACAGCGGCTGGGCTGGACTAGGCGCCCGCCCGCCGCCCGGACGACTCAACGGCGGCGGAGATAATCCAACGAGACGAAAGCTTAAATTTACGTACACCCGAATTTCAGTTCATTTATTGAAACAGTTTTTCATTCGCTCACCGGCAAGAAAAGTGACTTACTCGTATAAGGAAACGTTTGAATGCGTTTTCAAAACGATAAAATCATTACCTACATATCTGCACACGTTTGCATTTAGCGAGATTTGAGAGGTTCGTTCTTTTACAAATCTGTGCGTTTGCAAAAATAATGATCATTATCACAGTCACTTACACGAAATTAATCACGATGACAAGAAACAACGTACGCCGTGTGGTGTGATTTAGGCTGACCTGCGTAGACAGGCATGCTGGGAATGCTTCACAATCGCATTACAATGGTATGTCGGCACTATCAGAATCTCATCGCCGGGCCATTTGCCTCGGCGTGCTTCCTAGCTCGGTACGGACGCACACACAATGGCCGGGCGAACCGCTCGTCCGGGATGGCCGCTGATGGCGGGCCGATTGGCCAGAGAGCCGTGTTTCCGAGATGTTCCGGTACGGACGCGGTCGTCGCACTGTGCGGTACCGGGGAGTGGAGCGCGCCGGTTCACTCTGCGCGTGTCGTCGGTCAGTGGGTTAGGTGGTCAGAATTGGATATCCAACCGTTTGTGTATCGTGGCTATCGGGACTTAATGACACAATCATAACTGACTCTTTTAGTTAGATTATTTTAATCATAGGAGGAGAGTGAAAGTTCAGCGGAAACACGACCTATTAGGGGAAGCGGGGGGAGCACCGCCACCTTAAGCATTTCTGCTCACCGAGCTGATATGCGTAGTAAAAACGAAGCTCTTTTGCATTCATGTGAAAGTAGGAATGTTTTCCTACATGTTGGCATAGTTTCCAGCGCTCCATTATAAAATTTCGCTACTTTACAGACGTCGAAAACAAGTCCTGCATTTTTCGTCCTCCAAAAAATGTGCGGGTAGCACCGCCACTGATGGCGATGTTATCCACAGATCGGCCTTACGGTGACAGCCACCCTTGGAAGCGTTACTGCTGTCTGAAATAGTAACTCAAACTCATATAAGACGCACAAGAATTGGTTGTTAGTTTGTCACAGATCAGACTGTTTGTTGCGGACAATAGGTGCATACAAAGCATGACAAATTCACGCTTATTTCGAAACATCCAGTGAAGTCAAACGTGAGGTTAAAAAACAGACGACGTTTGCGGCCTAACTAAAGCTCTTCTCCGAGCTGAGTGAATCATCATTGCGGCTTTATCCATTTTGCCACCCCTTGGGGTAGCACCGCCGAGCATGGCGGTGTTACCCCACTCACAGTCATGGACCGACAACGCCCCGACAGCAAAACAAGCCGGGACGCGATTCTTCTGTAATTCCTTTCTCAACAAAGAGCACTTCATGCCCTCAAATTTAACGTAAAAATCAAGGCATTTTGACTTGAAATGACCACTTACTTGCTGCTCAAACATGCCAAATGATTACAACGATGGTTTGAAATTCACAAATTGGGCAAAATTGCGATCTCAAAATCAAATAAATCATAGCGAAACCTACCTCACGCGGCGTCCCGTTTCCGTTCGGACACCGAAATGGCGGGTGTTTACATTTACAATTCAGAGTTTTGCCGATAGAGAGGATGGCGGTGTTTCCCACATGGCGGTGCTACCCCCGCTTCCCCTATATGTAGCTAATCTATCGTTTTATTTTAATCGTGTCACTCTAGCCTTGAAAGATTTCCCATTTTATTTTTCCTAGGATAAGAAGCTTCTGTTTTTACCTAATATCGCAAAAAAAAATCAAAAATGGGCCTGGAATAGTGCCTTTTTCGCCTAAAAGTTTATCGGTTTTTCGATATGCATAACAACTGTAGTGGGCTGATCTGTAAACAGGCGTCGGCAACAATCGCGAATGCGGCGCACATGTGACAATAAGCAAAGGTCATTATCACTGCATTATAGAGTTACGACGTACGGGAATGAGTTATCAGCTGTCTAATCGTAGACAACACAACGTCGAGCCTTAAACTGTAAGCCTGTATTGGTATTGTTTCTTTTATTTGGCTATCGAACATTATCTATGGTTTGAAATATGATTTTATGTAAAATAATTGATATGAAAAAGCCGTCTCTTAAGTTATGACCCCATTTCACCACACGCAAGTGGCAGAAATGACAATGATCAGCTGACGCATTTTTCTTGGCCGAAGTCAGAGCGCGCGGCCCGACGCACCACCACCGCACGACAAAGTATGAGCAGAAGCCGCGCCCAAAGCCAGGGCCCCGGTAACGTGAGGTAGGCGAGTGGGGGCAGCGTGCGCTGACCCAAGCCGGGGCCGCAGCTTTGGGCGCGGTCTACCGCATCCCCGCGGGCAGCCCCGGGCTATCACATGACACCGGGAGGACGCGCGGCCCCGGCTTGGGTCAGCGCACGCTGCCCCGACTCGGCTACCTCACGTTACCGGGGCCCTGGCTTTGGGCGCGGTCTACCGCACCACCTAACAGGCGTGTTCGAAACCGCAGGAGATGATGATGAACGGGTTTATCGAAACTTGATTGGATGAGCATATCGGTAATAGCGATTTCAGTGTGTGCATTTATTGTTCATAGTGGTGTGAAATGTGGTTGGGGTACGACCGACAACCCGTCGGGGCGAATTTCGCACTGGGGTACTCAAAATTTGAAGAATTTAAGCCGTTTCCATGAGTTTTGAAGGTATGGATAAGTTCTAAAAATCCGGTTCTCCTTATCTGGGCCATTAACTCCATACGGTCCAGGAAAGCTGGCACACTACCTTTAACGCCTAGATAGAGCCATTTCTCTGTGTTTTCACTATCTCTGATATACAGAACTGAGTTGGAATTCCGCTAGTCAGGAGAAACCGTAGCACCTGGCTGTTAGGTGCGGCTCCACCCTGTCATTGCTGCTGAGCCGGCGAGATAAATATTACGACATGATGGCCACCATGACTCAATCGGCAGCTAATTCGTGACATCAGGCGCAGCTCGGATGGCGCCGGGAGAGCGGCTTTCCTGCCAGCAGCTGCTCGAGAGGTGCCGCTTTCTACCGTGTTGGGGCTCAGGAGTGGGTGGCGCTCGGTCCGATAGGCCCTCACTCACGGCAGAGCGTTTAATATTACATTTATTAATATAATATGAAAAGCAAAAATCGTTTATGATCCCTCACTCCGACACTGCAAACGGACGTTGTATGATGTTTTTTTTGTCACATTAGAGACACGGCATAAATCTAAAAGATTCAGAAAATAACAAGGTTGCAATGCAATAATATTTTTGGTAACATCCCTACCGAAAAAGTGAAACTATAGCTCCCCAAGCCCTTCCAGACCGTAAGGATCAGACGGCAAAAGACTGTTACATCACCGTAACATCACTGAGCCCCGAAGATGGGAGAAAACGCTCTGGTGTTAGCCTTGTGTGCAAAACTGCAGTCTCTCGTGCTATCCTCCTGTGCGGCGTCGGAGTCGCCGATGCTAGCTTTGTGTGTAGCAATGCAGTGACTGGCTGAAGCTTATTCAGTGCTGATCACTGCGCTTAACTATATCGATGTGCATTTCGCGAGCTGTGAAATCGCAACTTAAGTGTTTGTTGGTGCATCTTGCTCAAAATATTTGATTCTGACAAAATCTTTTTCATCGATTCTACACTACAGAACCTTGGCGTCCGTTAAGATCACCGGTTCCACCGACAGCGCTTCACTCACCCCTGTCGCCAGTGGGAGGAGGAATCTAGCAGCAGTTCGTCTGTGCTGTGGGCGGCCGCTTCCCACTCATCATCTGCAAACAAAACAGACAGCACGTCACCACCCGCATCCCACACACGGCTACAGACGGTGATAATACCGACAAATAAAGTCCGGTACAACCGTGACGGTGACGGCTGTGACGGCGGCTCGACAGCCGATCACAACTCAATAATAATACGTGGGATTATCATTGAACATCAGCCGAGTGGGCATCGTAAATACATCACTCCGACTTGCTGCAAGACGTAAGTCAAATCAGATTCGGTCTTTGACAGCAGTGGGGCACTTGCTCCGCTCTGGGGCCGCCCTTACAGACCAAAACATGTTTGTCGCCTCTCTGGGTCGGTGGAGAATGACACCTAGGCGTCACTGCACTGATCCAAGGTCAGTGGATCAGTGTGGGATGACCGGTCCCACACTGACACTGGGACGTCAGTGTCACCGATAGAGTCCCAGCCGATGGGAAAACTCTGCGGCCACTCGCGGAAACATCTGCAGCGCGCTCCCGAGACGAGCGCCATTCCGACATACCCTAAAGCTGCAGCCGACAAGTGACAATGTTCCCAGATTAGAGACACAACGGTACTGAGTGCTCAGTGTTCAGATCATAGTTTTCATTTGCTAACAAGCCTCTTGTGATTGTTCGATTATGACAATCATGATTTTCCCTGCCTACTAACGTTTAACGGTGAATTTTACCTATCGGCCAGCCAAGGAGACGCATTCGGGTGGGAGTATGCATCAGAATAATATACAGTTATGCAGGCGCCCAATTTTAACAACTGACTGTTAGCCACTGAAGCCAAGGACATCAAATTAATTGTGGTCGTGGAAAAGTGAGCCAGACAAGCCAGATACCCTGGGATGTTGGGTTAACTGTCTTGCAGCTTCGCTGTGCGAAAAATCGATGATAAAAGTTTATACAAAAAAATCGATTGTATCTCAATATCACTTAAAACAGCGGTCTTTGATATTGACCTAAATTCCGACAGAAAACCCTCTGCAAATATCAAAGCCATCTTTTTGCATAGATGATCACAACTCCGAAGTTACCTTATAGTTATACCTATCACCTTATCTGAACGTTGTTCGAACCGATAGGGGAAGTTGGGGGAACGCCGAATACTTTTTTTCTGACGCCCGTAGCACGCAAGGTAGACAACATAAGCTATTCTTGTTGGCGTCATTCGAGAGGCCAGTCTTTTGCCTTTCAAACATACCAGGCGCATTTGATGAATTCGCATACCGTTAAGCGCACAAACTAAAAATATCAAAGAAGTGACTTTTTCGGCGTTGCCCCGGACTGCGGGGAAAGCCGAAAATGGGAGAAATGATCTACGGGGAATGCCGACATTGATGTTTTGCCACTTTATCTCAAACTTTATCCAGAATTTATCAAAGCTGACACGCGTTTTAAGAGCTTGAGGACGCTTGGTGCACACTGGAAGTCATAATTGTGTGATATAATAAGAAAATGCCAGGTAAATAATTCCTTGTAGGTAACAGGCCGTTGTGTCGGTTGAAAGTGTAATTTGTGTGACTAAAAATTCGCGTTGCTATTCTACAGCAGTAAAGTCCACGTAGCGTGCTTTAACGTGCGTAATTGCACGTTTTCGGCATTACCCCAGCCAGCCATACTTTCATTTGCAGGCCCATAACTTTTTAACGTGCCGTATAAATTTCAAATAGGCAGCACACTTATGCAAAGACATGCTGAAGATTACTTGACCAAATTGGCCAGACAAACGGTAGCATAATGAGTAAGAAATGCAGCTTCAAAGGCGCATGTAGTACAAGGAACGCGTACCTTGAAAACGCTCTTGGCGCCCTCACAGCCGAAGTATTCCGAATGACGACTTGTTACAAACATGCGATAATTGTAGTCACTTAAGCTTCAGAGCATCACTGACAGGTGGCATCCATGTCTTACGGTTTTCGAAATATCTCGAATTTCGGCTTTGCCCCAACTCCGGCATTGCCCCAACTTCCCCTAGCATGCCGCAAGCTGCAGCCAATGGTGACTGTCAGTATCCGAAAACACGCCAGAATGCGGAGAAAGGTGTCGTATCTAGGCGACGATCAGTTCGTGTGATACGAACAACTGCACACGCCGCACCGCTGACCAAAAACACGGCCGGAGCTGACAATTTCGCCCGTTTCGCCCGAACACGGTCAGACAATATATCTCGACGAGAAGACTTTTCCGCCGGGCGAGAGCGGCTCGCCGGTTCGACAGGTGCGGAATGGCATGTCGCCGGGAGAGTTTGTGTGTCTGCAGTTCCCAGACCCGAACGTCAGACATCAACAAAGAGTCGTAGCGGCGCACTTCAGTCACACGGAAATGTGCAGGTGACCGCATTTTCGAAATGACCTTCCGTCGAGTGGAAGGAAAATTGTCATTCATGACTGCGCGCAGCTGGCCGGGGAACATGTGTCGTTCTCGGTACGAAATTTCATTCCCGAAATGTTTACCTGGTGGTGACATGCACAAACTGGCCCGTATCACGATATCACCGGGATACAAATGCGGTTTCGTGAGCTGAGAAATTCGCTCAAGCCGTGGTGTGTTTTACATAATCTAGCGACATAAGTCATCTGTTGTATACCAAGAGGCACTCATATCTCAAATCTCTTCATGTCTCAACTCAAGGGAGCGTTGACATATTGATTTACGTTACGTCTACAAAATAAATTCCATTGAAAGAGCTTAGCTTAGTTGCGGAAAAGGCCATATCGGCGTAAGAGCTCGCAGGTTTAGTAATACGGTCGAAATTTATGGAATTCAAGCCTGCGATAATCGTAAAGAATCTCAACTAGAGTTTTATATCGCTAAGAGTATTGAAGCCTCATTTGACGGCTGTCTGATAAAACTCGCAATGATAGCTATAAGCTTCTTATTTTAATCCACGCATGCTGATGTCCGAGTGGTCAACGTGCAGCTATTGTCCTCAGTTTCTCCAGACCGATCGATAAACTGAGGTCTCCGACTCCCACTGCCCCAGCGGCTAGCAGGTTGCTCCTGAACAGCCCAAATCGTGCTCGGTCCATCTCCAGTGGTCCGTGAGACGCCATGTCCCCGCCGTCCGGCAGTCGCTGCCCGCAGTTCCGGCCAGTTGAGTGTGTCTCGGCCCGTGTCTCCGGCGGGGCGGCGTCCCGGCCGTGTCTCCGGAGCGGGCACGGCCCGTTCCGGTGCCCGACCCGTGTGCGACTCAGCGGCACCGACCGGGACCGGCCGGCGGCCCCGACGGCACCGCGCCCCGTCTCGGCCGGCCTTGGTGCGCGCCGCCGCAGACAAACAAGACAACACGGCCGGCGGCGGCGGCCCCGCCCTGCCACTCGACCCGGCGGCGCACGCACGGCGCCGAGCCGCTCCCGGCCGGCGCTCCGTCATCTGACGGCCGCGCCACGGCCACCGTGTCCGGTCGGCGTCACGGCAGGCTCACACACGCGCGGTCAGCGGGAGCCGCAGCAGAAAACAATGGCACTGACGGCCGCAGAGTGGCAGCGCCCGCAGCAGGTCAACGGACGGGAACAGACCCGCGGGCCGCAACTCGGGCGGCTGCGGCGGCGGCGCCCAGCCAGTGGCCACAGTCACGCCATGGGGACGCATTTGGAACGGTGCACTGACGGGCTCCGTCGCACGCGAGCCGACTACCGTCAGCGGGCGGCCGACGCACCCCTGCCATAATTCACACCGGCACGGGTGCGCGGCGCGACGCGTCACGACGCCACAGGACCGCCTGCCGACCCGTCAGGGCCATCCGGGCGGGTCTCGGAGAGGGGCTGCGTTCCGGCAGCTGAGCCCGAGCCGCCGCCGTCGTCAGCTCACCGAGCGGAGCGACACCGTTAGCTCAGCCCCCGCGCGCCGCGGCGCCGGCCCCGCCCAGGCGGGCGCCTAACCAGTCGAGTGTCAACAGATCCAGGCCGGGCCGGGGCACACTCGGCGGGCGATACGCACTCGGCGTCGACCGGACGCGCCACACAGCCGCCGCGTCGGGTCAGGCCCTGGGGCGCCGAGGCGCTATAACAAACCACTTTCACTGCGGCCTCGGCGGCCTTTTCGACTGCGTTGATTAGCAACTGGTGGCGTAACACTGCGCCGCGGCCGCCGCGGAGGTCGGGGGTAATCTGACACAGCGGCGGCCCAGTTTCACGCCCCCCGGTGAGTGTTTATCGACTGCTAACGGAGAGCGAGAGGAATTCAGATCAGGAACCGACAGTCATTGCAGACGATCGAAAGTGCAGCTCCCGTGGCTAAGCACGTGTTTTCTACCGGGGAATTCAGAATGGTCGCCCATGGGCTGGTCTCACAGATTGTCTCTCGGCTGACTGCTCCCAACTACCGTTCCGTTAGCACCACTGAACGCTCGACAGATCTCGGCGCGCGATTGTTTCTCACGCGAGTGGGCACATCGGTGGATCGTGTTCTACCAAGCCCTTACTACCTACGGCGACAATTTTACGGCGTACTCTGCCTTACACGATTTCAACATTGCCAACAATTTCGTCCAATTCCGCGTCTTTCCTATATGTTGTAAGCTCGTGAGTCGCCACTCCACCGAACAGTGCAGGTATAGTTAGTAACGCTATAGATGCGGGAGTCACGTTTGACTCGGGCCTCGGAGGGCCCGGCCCTGATGCCCGACGGTCGTACAGAGCGCGATTCTCGCATGTATGGTGGCCGTCGCCCACTGGCCAACCTTGACAGTACTATGGCGTTGGCGTTATGATAGGCAGCTTCCTTGTCCGTGCGTGTAGTTTCGCTCGCAACACAAGGGCCGGCCCTGAACAGCGCCACCAGAAGAGAAGGATCGGATACAACGGATCATCTCAAATATGGCACGGCGTCATCACCAATAGACGGACTTTCTATTTTCTGAGAAACCCTTAGAAATATCCCACGCTTTCTCAAGAGGGTCAGAGATTAATCGTGGGAAGACACTTGAAATTCCTTCATCGGATGAATCAGGTGACTTACTGACTGATTTATTGAAAAGTAAAAGCAATGTCAGCTAAAGTGGGTGCTTTCTA